ATGTTGGAGGGGATGGTGTCCCCCGGGGGGGGGGGGGGGGGGGGGGGGGGGGGGGGGGGGGGGGGGGGGGGGGGGGGGGGGGGGCGGGCGGGGGGGGGGGGGGGGGGGGGGGGGGGGGGGGGGGGGGGGGGGGGGGGGGGGGGGGGGGGGGGGGGGGGGGGGGGGGGGGGGGGGGGGGGGGGGGGGGGGGGGGGGGGGGGGGGGGGGGGGGGGGGGGGGGGGGGCCGGGGGGGGGGGGGGGGGGGGGGGGGGGGGGGGGGGGGGGGGGGCGGGGGGGGGGGGGGGGGGGGGGGGGGGGGGGGGGGGGGGGGGGGGGGGGGGGGGGGGGGGGGGGGCCGGGGGGGGGGGGGGCCCCCGGGGGGGGGGGGGGGGGCGGGGGGGGGGGGGGGGGGGGGGGGGGGGGGGGGGGGGGGGGGGGGGGGGGGGGGGGGGGGGGGGGGGGGGGGGGGCGGGGGGGGGGGGGAGGGGGGGGGGGGGGGGGGGGGGGGGGGGGGGGGGGGGGGGGGGGGGGGGGGGGGGGGGCGGGGGGGGGGCGTGTGGACGGACACTTCACGCCGGTCTGGAACCGCCACAATGGTGGCGCGTTACCTTAGAACTAGCTTGAGAGAGGACGGGTCGGCCCCTCTCCTAGCTCAGTCCAAGCGGTGGAGCACACCGGTCCTTCATGGCGAGCTACGGGACCAGTTGCACACTTGCGTCACTACTCTCCTAGTCGGACAACGAGTTGAGTAAACGTCGACCGTTGGGGGACCCCTCCCCTCCCCAACATTCAGCATACGCGTCCAGCCGATGTGCCAAAAGGGCGTTGGTTTGGCTTACGTCGTCAATCGGCATCACAATTTTATTATCACGCTTCTACCCACCAATGCGATTGTGGTTTTGCTCGAGGAATGTTCCATATTAGGCGCACGCGAGCGGAAATCACTCATCCAGCGTCATCTTCTAGTGTGGATTCCCGCACTTAACCATCAACAGGAAGGAGGGAATGCACCACGTTCGCGCGCTCTTGCGGGTCGCAACAGAATACAGCAGAAGCACAAGTAGCAAGTAACCATATTACAACACTGTACTGCGGTACGTAGTTCCCTCTACAGCTGCAATTTCTCGACCAACTCGGACTTGCTGGGTATTCTGTGTTTGGATTCGCGTCACTACAAACGGTTTTCGCCATTTCGTTTTCGTTCGATACCATAAAGGCGCTAATCAGGGTATGCAGAAACATCGTTGAAACTCAACTAGCTGCGCAAACTCGAATAGCAAAGATCGCGCTTCCGAACGCTGCCACCTCTGTCGCTCACCTCAGATAAAGCTAAATGGGGTGCAAGGTAGGAGTTCGTAAGGCCGGAATTACTCAGCTGCAGTTTTAGCTCTGAGAGAAGACTTAGTGACAGTTCTGAAGGGAAAAAGCAACCATATCTTAGGCGACAAGTGAAAAGTGTCGTTCAAAGGTTAGCGCAAGACATGTGCGAAGTAAACGGACGGACAAGATTGCAGATGGCGGCCGGCAAAACGAGACTACACGCGACAACGAACTATTGCTGCCTGCTGCGGAAAGAGAATCAGTCAAACCGCGAGGAATTTAGTTTAGTACCTGGACAGAAATCTGTACCGACGCACAAATCACGCACTATCCTCGAGAGCTGTACTACATGAACATCTGCATCACTATTTCCCACCTCGCAGTTCCAACAGATTACGCTGTCCTTATCGTGAAGTATTTGGTGCCATGTATGGCCGAGTAAGTTGCATCGTCGAGCGCTCCTAATATAAATTATCAAATTTTGTTAGACTTATAATAAACGAGAATTCAGATCGGTCCGCCTCCAAGTTGGAGACAACAACTCTTGACGAATTTTGTGATGTCGCATTCGCTTCGGTTGGCAAGATTCGAATCACTGGAGATTTTCGGCAATCAGGACTTTCCCGACTTCCCTTTGCAAACTAAACGGACTCTGTTGCCTAAACTGCATTATCATTGATGACATTCTGCAGAACTGGTGACCTAATTTTGTGCCCCTCGAGGGTGGTAATGGTACGTCTCTACTGTAATTACGTAATTAAAGCATGTGAAAATCCTACTTTATTGATACTGAGCATACCAGATATCAAAGAGAAACGTATTCTAAGGCAAGTTTCCTCAAGAAGGTGTGGAACCACTGGAAGTGAAGCCTCTTAGATCGCCCGCGTCCTAGCCAAGACCCGGTAACTCTCTTCACAGATCTCAGTCATACTGGAAGTGGCACGTTCCTGTAATTTTGCTGCGTGGGTCTAAATTGGATGGGGCGATACTCACACATATGGCAGCCAAAACGTCGTGAACACGTCCAAATCACAGGGTAAATGAGCACCCAGTCTTGGGATTTGACGGGGGATGAAGATTCATTTTTTCCGCGCCATTGGCATCCAGAGGTGGTCTCTGGACAGATGTGGCTTTTTCGCGTGTCACAGCGGAAACACTTTTCGCTGCAGGAGACCTGAGGTCACCCTGGTCATCAGGGACCCAAAGATCCCGCAACAAGAAATGGTCGCGCTGCAAGCACACCGTGGCACCCGTCTCAATTTTGTTCTCGACACCAAATTATCGCAATCCCGGCCTCGTGCAGAAAAGATTACTTCGTTCAATGAAATCCGAAAAAAAACTAAAACAAAGATAGTTACGTCAAAAAAAAAATTTTCGCCTCCGAACAGGTAAAAGGCCACTGTTTAAGTCACTTCATGGAAGCGTGACACGGTAACGCGTACACTCGCGCACCGTGGTGCGGACAATGTGACGCGTAACACGTTCCCACTAAGTCATCCTTGTTTTCTGGGCGCCTTGCTCTTTTTGTTTGTTTTTTTTTTTTTTTTTTTTTTTTTTTTTTTTTTTTTTTTTTGTTTTTTTTTTTTGTTTTCTTGTTTCTACGACTGATTCCTAAGCTGCTTTATTCATAGTTCGCATCGGTGGCGGTCGGTGCCGCGGCGCCGACCGCACCGACAGTGGAGAGCGTCAATGACGCCTCTGGCGCATTTGACGCGAACGGTTGGCGCAATCGGTGTCCGAATCGTAATCCTGTTTTGTGTATTTCTTATGCTTTTCGATGTTTTTTGTTGCGGGCCGTGTTGCTTTACTTGGGGTGTTCCTGTTCATAACTTATTCTTTTGTTATCGGACGCAATTGTGGCTCGGGGGGGGGAGGGGGGAGGAAGTCGTGCCGCGGCTCAGCGATGAGTGTACTCGAACATTCCAGCTTTCACGGGACATTACAGGCTTCGTCACGCATGGCGTAAGTCGACTGCCTTCACCCCCACCCGAACCTGGAATTGCTACACTCCCCCCGGCTTGGCCGAATTCCCTGTTGCGCACGCCGGGGCGCGGGGCGGTGCCCCCTCGAGCCACATTGCGCCCTTTTATGTCTGATTAATACTTCCAGTTGGTGCCGAGGGCGAGCGACGTGCGTGAAACCGTCGACACAACTCCGGGTAGATGTGGCCAGGACGGCGGTGCTGGTGTAAAGTCAATTTTGTTATTCATATTGAGGTGAGTGCAAAAAACATTCGAAAAAATCGAAATGCACCAGAACCAAGATTATCGACCCGAGCTGCCCATTCTGCGCCCAGTCACGCGTCATTGCCGCAGAGCGCGTGTTGACGCTCTTCACAACGGTCGGTGCGGTGGCCGCCGTCGGCGCGGCGTCGGCACCTATGGAACTATGAAAGCAGCTAAGGTCTGTACTCATTCTATAGGCCATACATCAGCATAGTTATAACACATGAGCCCTCACAGAAAGGCAAATATTCTTAGTTTGCAGAAGTTTCCCTTACCTTACTGAGTCTGGGTCAGTTGATCTCGTTTCTTTTAACTGACGTAAATTGTTGAGCAAAAAGACGGATTAGAGGCGAATAAAAAAACCTATACGTAGCGGTAGAGACATGTGTTTTTACCTGAAAACACCACGTTCAAATTAATGTGGAATCCCGTACGTGTAAGTTTATTTATTTTTAGTTATTCGCCTTTATCAGTCCTTTTTCTCAACATATTTACGTCAATCAAGAGAAAACGAGGAATGAACTGAGAGACATCCGTAAGGTGTAAACTTCAGCCAAACTAAAGAATATTTGGCTTTTCTGTGAACCCATGTGGTTTATAACTATGCTCATGTATGGCTTATAGAATGAGTGCAAAGACCTTGGGAATAAGTCGCACAAGCGTAAGAAAAAGGGATGACTTAGGTGGGACGCGTTAGCGCGTCACATTGTCCCGCGAGGTGCGCAAAGTGGGACGCGTTACCGCGTCACGCTGTCGTGAAGGTGTTAAACAGTTGCCTTTACTGTCCGTGCGAAATTTTGACGTATGTTTGTTTGAGTTTATCAGATTTCATTGAGGAGTAATGCTTTTCTCAAGAGCAGGGATTGCAATAATTTGGGTCTCAAAAATGGAAGTACGGGTGCCAAGGTGTGCTTCGCAGCGCGAAACATTTCTTGTTGCGGGAACTTTGGGTCCACTGATGATCACCAGTGGACCTAAGGTCTCCGCACCGACGAATGTTTTTTGCGAAACCCGAAAAAGCCGCATTCTGTCCTCGAGAACCACTTCTTGGATGCCAAGTGACGCGGAAAAGAGTGAATATTCATTCAACCGTCAAACCCCAAGAACTGGGGCGCTCAGTTTAGCTGTTGATTTTGGACGAGTTCACGACCTTTGCTTGTTATATGTGTGAGTATGCCCTATCCAAGTTAGAAGAGGCAGCAAAATTACAGGAAGTGCACTTCCAATATGACTGAATCTGTGAAGAGAGTTACCGGTCTTGCTGGACGCGGGGCGATCTGAGCAGGCTTTTCACTTCGTGTTCCACACCTTCTTGAGGAAATTGCCTTAGAATGGTTTCTTCTTTTGATAATTTCTGGTATGCTTTAGTATAACAATGTAGAATATTCATGCTTTATTCGTAATATAAGTACAGAGTCGTACACATTTACCATCGAGGGGAACAAAATTAGGTCACCAGTTCTGCAGAATGGTCATTAGTGAATAATGCAGTTAGGACAGAGTCGTTTGAGGTTTGCAAGGGAAGTCGGGGAAAGTCTTGGATTGCCGAAAATCTCCAGTGATTTCGAATTCTTGCAAACTCGGAGCGAATCAGACATCACAATATTCGTCAAAAGGTTGTTGTACGTCACTTGGAGGGCAGGTCGATCTGAAATTCTCGTTTATTATCAAGTCTAACAAAATTGTAATTTAATATTAGGAGCGCTCCGATCAGCGTACAAACTTACTCGGCATACATGGCACCAGATACTTCAGATAAGGACAGCGTATCTGTTGGAACTGCGAGTGGGAAATAGTAATACAGATGTTCATGTAGACAGCTCTCGAGCATAGTGCGTTGATTTGTGCTTCGGTCACAGATTTACTGTCAAGTACTAGAGATATCCTTCGGCCGGTTTGATGATTCTCTTTCCCGCACAGGCAGCAATAAGTTCGTTGTCCGTGTAGTCTCGTTTTGCTAGACCGCATCCTGCAATTGGTCCGTCGTTTACTTGGCGAATATTTTGCGCATAAGCTTTTGAACGAACAACTACTCAGTTGTAGCCTAAGATCTGGTTGTTTTCCCTTCAGAAGTGTTACTAAGTCTTCTTTCAGAGCTAGGTTAAAAGTGTACATTCCGGTCTTTAGGAACTCCTACTTTGCAAACCATTAGCCTTGCTCTGAAGGTGACGGCAGAGCTGTTGGGAGCGCGATCTCTTTCTGATGGAGTTACGCGGCTAGTTTGGGTTTCACGGATGTTTTCTGCATTACGCCTTTATGGGTATCACGTTTGCGAAAAACGTGGCAGTGAAGGCGAATTAAACACAGAATACCCTCAGCAGCCTGGCTACTTGTGCTTTTTCAGTGTTCTGTTGGAAAACGCAAGAGCACCGACGGTGGTGGATTCCTATTTGATGGTAAAGTAGGGGGGAATACACCACTGAGGAAGACGAAGCTGGATGAGTGATCCGCTCCGTGCGCTTAATATGGAACATTCCTCAAGGCAAAAACCACAATCGAATTGGTGGGGTAGAAGCGGTTGATAATAAAATTGTGAATGCCGAGTTGACTGCAAATGAAAAAGGAAGCAAAGCAAACCGTCGACGAAGCCTTCGAATTGGGACTTTCCTCTGCTATCATTGAAATGAGGGACGGGCGTGTCCGGACGATATGTCTGAACTTGCTAGCTCGATGGCTCTAGTAACTCGTGCGTATCCGAATTGCCACTACGCCGTAGTAGCAGGTAGCGTGCCATCGAGTGTGCGCGAGGTAACTCGTCCATTAGCTCACACTTGCCGCACTCGCTCACTTTGTAAATGCCCTAGGCCCATTGTTCAAGGATTTCAAGCCGCGACAACGGCGTAACTGTGCCACTCGCCCGCTACTCTGTCCTACACACAGAATTAATTGCTGGACACGATCTCATCTGGGATTTTGCTTCAAAGCAGGCTTGTGTGCCCTCTATTACTACTTTGTAGACAAAGCGCAAATCGGACCCCGTCTAAGGAGAACGCCTGGAGCGGGAAGACGTGTGCAGCTTTTCATCAGGAATGGTAATGAAGACTTTCGGAGGAAAGACGTGCACTCGCTTAATTTTATCCCCTGCCGCGAGTATTCTCACGCGGAAGAATTTGCGGTGATTCTTATTTCGCAAATTCAGCTGCGAGCGACTCGCGCAGTATGCGTCTAGCCCTGACTTCATTCACACCGATCCTAAAAACGACTTTTCAGGCATGGTACTGCATAGAAGATTCTGATAGCACGTAAAGAACAAAGTAGGGCTTCGGATAGACTTACCGAGGTTGGCGCTAATCAAGCAGTAGGGACAGATTCTCTTGAGTTGTGTGATGATCGTAATCGAAATAAGTGGATTTTCTTGGATTTCGATAATCATTTCTCCGGCAGGGAATGTAAATCGTGAAATTTCGAGTATTGACAATTCAATATTGTCAACGATTCTTATCGCCGGTCGACCTGAAACTGTCTTTCTAGATAATTGTTCTACACCACTTCACAAAGGCTGGAAAGTTACCTGGCATACAGGACCTCAGCTGCTTGAGGTGCGGGCAGCGGAACGATTTGTATTGGGACCTTGTGATATCGATGCAAATCTCCATGAACACAGCATTTGAGCACAGAGCATTCATTTGCTGCTCGGTGGTCGATGCAGAACTGAGTTCCAAAATGTAGCCTGGCGCAGGTCGAATGATTCGTTTACCGGCACATGCAGCGATCAGTTGGTTGCTGGTGTATGTGTGGCTTTGCAGGTCACAGGCTAAAAAATGCTCGGATATCAAAAGTTATTCCTCTGATGGATTAGGCTATGAGATTATGGAAAATAGTGGATGTGACACTCGACGTTGAGCAGCCCTCTTCGGAGTCCGCCGTGCATTCTTCATTCGTTGGGAATCTAAGCACACTCAAATCCTTGTGTGGCTTAACGAAAATCGCGAAGTGAACTGATGTTCAGGCAGGGTGAGGCACTTGCGGAGGAAAGTTTTTCTGAAATCCCTCTCTCCCTTTCCCACCACTCTCTCAATCAGGACCCCAAACTCATCTCCGTACCTGGTCCACTCAATTTATTCCATTCCACCTCTTCGAGCAATAACTGGGTTAACGACAGCGCTCCAAAAAAATCACATTTAGCACGGGTGAGGGGAGGCCAGGGAGGCTTTCAAGTGCAATGAAGAATAAAAGTTTTGGAAGTCTCATGTTATTCCTGCAATTATTATTTCCTCCTCAAAAATTCAATTCCTTCATAAAATCTCAAATCCTAAGCGGGCCCTACCCTCCTCCTACGCTCTCAAAACTATCCTTTCTTTTCTCAAAATCCTAAGTGGGCCCTACCGTACCCTTCTCCCTCTCCAATCGCCCTGTCGACCCCACAACACGACGCTTCGCTTTGCATGCCAATACGACTTCTGAATTGGGGAATACTCGAGGTTCGTTCACTTCTCTATCACAGGCCGGTGACTTCATCTCCCGATGGATCCCCCTGTTATAACAAAGAACAAAACAAAAAAAGACCCACCTCACCCGCCCAAAAAAAAACCAAAACAACGCCCCCCGCCGAGGGGCACCCCACGAAAGCCCCACTCAATGAAACATGATCAGAAGAGCAATGGGGTTTGGTTAGCTCGAGATGATTTGATCTGGATAATGTGCGTGTAAAGTGTCGTACTTTATGCCACTGCTTCCGACTAATAGAAATAGCGTATGTAGAAACCTAACCTAACGTTGGCTGTTTATGACCAGTTTGTTGCAGCTACTCGTCTTGAGATAACTGGATAAAGAGTATACTGAAAGAAGTGGATTTTCACTGATCTCAAATATGAGTACGCCCTGGGGGTAGCGTACATCCAGAGGAATATACAGTTCTTCGAGGAGAATGTTGCCCACAACCTTTATGGCTGGTTGTCCTGAACGAGTTCATTTTTGATTGCTATCCGTTACGGGAAAAATTGAGTCCTTTTTACCTGGACGGCATGGTCGAATTTCTTGTAGTCGTGGGAAACGCAGTGCTCTGAAGTTTGAGTCCACTACCACTATGCATATTTCCATGAAGACAACCTCAGCGAACATTGCGTTCATTTCTGTTTCAGTTACTTCGCTTGACACCACCATTAGAGGGATCCTAGCGTATGGCTTGATGACTTGCGCACCGGCACAAACTCGAACCAGTTCTTTGCTGCTGTATTGACGTGCTTGTAGCTGGCATTGACGAAGTACTGAAATAATCCAGGTGAGCTTGCTTTTTACTACATCGAAAGGTAGCGATTGAACAGTTGAATGGCTCAGTAGGTTTGTTTTTGCGTGGGCGCGGTGATAAGGACGCCTCAAGAGCGCAATCTTGTTATTGTAAGGTGAATACGCTACAGTAGGACTTTGGCTGTAAGGCGGACTTAGCAATGGAAAACTGCTCATTAGAAATTCAGTAAGAAGGAAGGAGTCAGTGGTGCTGGGACGAAAACCACGAGAAATGGGTCACAACCCGAGAAATGGGACCTCTTTGTTCCCGTTGAATTCCGCATTGATGCGACTCTCACTGGTGCGGCCCTCTTCAATGCTTAAGCTCTCTCTGCTAAACGCTCAGAGTCAGACAGCGAGGGTTTGCCAGTGGGCAGGGCGTGCAGACGTGAGAGCGGCGCGGGTACGACACTGCTAGGCCGCTCAGGGAGTAGTTTCCGCTGCGAAACGGCATAGTCTCGCAAGAGCCCGCCTGTTTCTTTTCTAGGCGTTCTTTCCCTTCGACCTCCAATCGTACCGTAAATTCCTCCTTTAAGATAACAAGATATGATTCGAACTTTTTCCTCGCTTCCGTGTCTTTCAAAAAAGGCATTCACGATTGCCCAGATATGCCTAGGTAATCCCGTACCTAGGTGATCCTGGGATGTTGCTTTAGACCAGAGAAACTCCTAGTAGGAACGTTTAGCCAAACCAGACCGTACCTGGTTTAGTTGTAGGTGGGCGAAGCTCGATATCACACTGTTTGCACCATGTTTTCAGAGAGAAGAACGTCCATTGGTTCAGTCGTGGATTTCCTGTGACTCTGACGATGAGATCTCCTTGAGGATAGAGTGTTTGTGGCGGTATGAGTAGAGTTTCGAAGAAGTTGTTATCCGTGACGATGATGGCAGGCATACCTGTAAATGTTCATCTGTTCATCTAGCTGTCGTGAACATCTATCAGAGAATTCGCTAAAAAAATACTTCAAAATCTCACCGGGTAGGCATGGCCTGAGCACGCGCAGGTTCGGACAGCGTAACTGGCGGTATTGTGAGTGAGAAATAGTGATGCATATTTCCATGAAGATAGCTTGTGAGCACAGGGCATTCATTTGGTACTCGGTGGTGGTACGGCTGTCAAGTTGCAAGATGTATCCAAGGGCTGGCTTTATAATCGTCTTTCCTGCGCATGCGTCAACGAGTTCGTTGGCGGAATAGTGTCGTTCCTGGAGGTCGCATCCTAGAAATGAAGGAACACTTGATGCTGTGACTATCCAAACATCTTTCTTAGAAAGTCCCTGAGCTTCATTTTCTGATAAGACATTTTGTATGCACGTGGAATGAAACGCTCGAGAAGTATGCGGCAAAGTTTTGGGTTTATGGCCTAAATGTAATAAAATGGAACCATAAGCTGCTATCTCCTTGGATCAGAGTAGCAGATTTACTGAGAGGTGTAGTAGTGGAGAAAAATTAAGGGAATTTGCTTAGAACTTATCAGCAAAAAGGGACTCTTATTTTCCTGTTGATTCCCATTTTGGGCGAGTCACATCAGTGCGGACTTCGTGGACGCTGTGCTCTGTGTCTCTCCTAAAGCGGCTGGTGTCCGACGACGATAGAACGACACTTGCGGTAGTCAGTCGGTGGACGGGCTGAGGGACAAGCAGACCGGTTAGGCTCGGCTAGGCTGCTACGGGAGCGCCCTTCGCCCACGATGGCACCAGGTTTCATTCCCTTGGAGACCTAGATTGTATCGTAAGGCCACTTCCCCTTCTCCAATCTACGATTTATCGTATCATCTGCCTTCATGAACAGGAACTTGAGCCCGAAATATTGTCGTAAGAAGTTTCTGAAGGAGTTCTTGTTCTATGAATAAAAGGAAGTCATGGATTATATAGAATCGGAAGCCTTGACCCCACGCTGTGCAGTGATATGAGTTTCTATGAGTTGAGCTGATATAGTTGTCATTTCTTCTACAAGTCTCCTTCCCCGATACGAGGTTCTAAAATCATTCGGGATAATGGTTGGTGTTGCGGGACTCAGGTGGTGGCTATCGGATGAGGTCCATGTTTGTTGAAATTGCGAAAGAATGAACCTTGGAACGCTATTTCAAAACTTGAGTAAAATAGCTGCATAGGTGTCCCTGAGAGCGAGGGCTTGGACCGTGAGGTAGCTCAACCCACATCCTGTTAGGATCGTCCACATTCTGCATAAGTTTCAAAACTAATTCATGAACTTCCTTATCACTCTTCGAAATAGTGAGCTGTGCTGGAGTGTGGAAAGGATCTTCTTGCTTGTGAAACTATAGAGGCAAAATATGCACTAGCTTTTTCTGTGGCTATCACGATGCTAATAAGACATACAAGTTTAGCATCGGTCGTTTCGGTTGTGCCACGCGTTCTCTTCCAATTCGTAATCGTGGTGGTGTCTTGAATGCGTTTTAGCTTATACAATTAATTGTTAAGGCCAGCTAATGTGAACGACAGTATTCTCGTTCTTTCTGGCTAGTCTGATACCATATTACCGATGTGAATGGATGGAAGGCTCGGATGGCTTGCACGGCGCATAGTCTAGGATTTGACCCACGGATCGAGGGTGTGATGAGCGGCGCAGGTTGCTCCTACACCCCATACGCCATCCTACTCTGATGATGAATATTTTCTTGGTAATATTTGATAATTAGTATTCCCTATATTTCATTGCATACTATATTACTACTTTCGTGATTGCTGCAAATCCGTTTTGATTAGAGTGCAAAGGGAAATCGTAAAGTAAAGCAATTACCTAGGTTAGCCGTTATCGTGCAGGCAGGGCAAAGCCGCTTGAGTTTTTCGATGATGAAGTATGGCACGAGCGGGTTACCAGTGATTTCAAGAATCAGATCTCCAACTGGGAAAGTGAACTGCCAAGAAATTTCAAGGACCTCAAGTTTCAAGTTGTCCACAATTCGTATCGCTGGTCGACCTGAAAATCAATTTCTTAGTACATGGTGTCATTCTTGGCTCGAATGTTGGCGAGAAATGAAGCGAGAATTCGACCTGGTTGGCAAGGTCTCAGCTCCTTCAGATACGGGCAGCGGAACGCTCTATATTGCGAGTTGGTGATGTCGATACAGATTTCCATGAATGTGGCTTGCGAGCAAAGAGCATTCATCTCGGCTTCAGTGGTCGATGACGAACTGAGCACCAGCATATAGCCCTCAGCTGGACGGATGATCTTCTTTCCTGCACAGGCAGCAACCAGCTCTTTATTATTGTATGTTCGCTTCTGCAGATCACATGCTGAAAAGATGTATTAAACGAAGGAATTGCCAGCTGCACGTCTTGATCATCTCTCAGGTGTCTTACCGAAGTTGGCTGTGATTTGGCAGCGTTCACACTTCTTCTTGAGCCACGTGATGATCGTGATGTCCAGGACAGGGTTTTCCGTAATTTCAAAGATTAACTCGGTTTGAGGGAATCGCACATTGACGGGAATGAGGAACTCTACCAATTGGAAGTTGTTTACAATTTGGATAGCTGGTCGTCCTAAACGAATTTGTTTTATAGCGATGATCTTCATGGGAAGTTAGCTAGGTTAATTGTGAGTAAATTCACCTGGGAGACATGATCGGAGTTCTCGCAGACGTGGGCAACGTAATCTCCTGTAGTTTGAGTTAACTATCGATATGCAAATCTCCATGTAAACGGCATTCGAGCACAAATCGTTCATCGCCTTTTCAGTTACGTCCGTGGACGACACAATCAGTGGGAATCCTTGTATAGGCTTAATGACTTCCGTTCCACTACAAATCTGGATCACCTCATTGTCAGTATAGGTACGAGCCTCCAGTTGACAATGGCGTAAACCTGAAAACAGAATATGTATTCATTGAGCACACTCACTCCGATTGTACATTCTCTCCTCCACTGAGTTAACTAATTTTATACAGAATTGTTAGTGAACAACAAAGCTAAAGGATGAAGCTTTTCACGTTAGTTAGTCGCTTTTTGGGATGCGCCATGTATTCCACTTCGTACAGGCATTTTGAATGCTTCGGGAATTAACAATGGATTGCTGGGGCTGGCCGGTGTGCAAGTCAATGTTTTTCTTCTCACAGACAGGTTTGAAACCGATTGACCGATCTCGAAGGGAAGAACGGCTTGGTTGGTCTAGGCTCGATTCGACTGAGTTTTCACCCGGCACCACTCCCACTCATCATCACTAATGTAGCGCTATCTACCGAGTACAGAATCTTTTTTAGGCTTCCTATCGTTCTCATCTCATGAATCTAAACTAGGTGAGGGCTCGCGTCAGCTTGCGGTTCAGTCGTGGATAGGGATGTACTGTGTATATATTTTGAAATGCTAGTTGTCATGCATGTACTTCAATACGTGGCCCTTAGGATCGGCGAGTAGCTCTATTGTTTGTCTCTTGGATCTAACTTCCAAGGAATCATCCATCACAGAGCGGCCATCGTCATCAGAAGTTGGTTTAGTTCGATGCGTTAACATTTACAAAGCAGAGCAGAAACGCTATTCAGGAAGTGTTCTGTTAGTTTTGCTTTGTTTCCAGGTTCGAAGGCTGACCTTATGAATCAAGGTCATTATTTTCATTTTTCGAAGTTTCAAAATCACACTGAGAGTTTGGAGCGAGGGGTCTGTTGGTAAACGCTAACTGTATTCCTGGTCAAGATGTTGCTAAAGGTGATACACCAAGTGGCTGAGGTTTGTGCCTCCACCTGGATAAGACGTTCTTAAGCTGTGGAAGAGCCTAATTTAGTCCGCTACTTATTCTTTTTATGCGGAGCTATGTTACCTTGAGTTCAATACCCGACATAGGCTTACAAAGCTATGAGAAGCTTTGAAAACCGCTTGTTCGCTGACTTATTCATGAAAGATCGCCCCATTTTGAAATCTTTTGAATTGTTGTGAATAGTGAAACAATCAGAAGTCTCTAGGAAGTTAATCGAGGCTCACTGGTTTAGCATGTCCCGCAGAAGGATTCTGCACTGTGGCACCCATCTCTTCAGTGATTTGATTTCAGTAAGTGGAATCATTGGTTCTCAATGCTTCAATAATGAGACTGCCTTCGGATAGATTGTATGGATGGAATGAGCAAGTTTTGGAATCTGCTGTTGCTGGTGACATTGATGGCTGGTACTCCTGAAAAGGAAAATCTGTGTGAATCTGCGAACGAACGAAGTTTGTGGGCGACCTACCGGCATGCACGGTTTGAGTTCAGCGCAGATATGGGCAGCCGTAATTGTAAGAATTGCGAGTGAGAAATGGGTGATGCAAATTTCCACTGTAGACGAGCTCTTGAGCACAGTGCGTTCAGCTGCATGTTCGGTCACGGAATCGCTGTTAAGTATCAAAATGTATCCTTGCGCTGGCTTATGATCTCCTTTCCCTGCGCACAGGTGCATCCAACAAGTTCATTGGTGGAGTAGTCCGCCGCTGGTCTGAAGCGCCAACAAGCCTGCAAATTCTAGCGTCAGTGACAAAGGCGTTGAAGTTTGGTATTAGGTGGAAGGAAAGTTCCTTAACACTTGTAGCTCAATTTTTGAATTTATGTTTTTATTCTTTGAATTTTATTCCAATGGATCCATAACATGATTTGACCATTACGATACAACGCAAACACTACGCCAAACCTTCGCGGCATTTGGGTGACACGGCAGAAACTAGAATATAGGAGATTTTTTGGCCAAACAACCTTCTGGGTGTCGGGATGGTGCGCTCGGGTTTACGTTCGTTCGAGCTTCCTGTTCTCCAGGTATGAGCAACAGCGAGCAGGGAAGGTTGAAGAGGGTATGATGAGGTTTGGACGAATTGGGCTAGTACGGGCAGCCGCGGTCCTGCCTGCTGCAGAGTCTTTCGTGTGGCCTTGCGGAGACGAACACCCGCGACGTTGCGCGTTGTCGTGAAGCAGGTATATTCGGCGAAGCTCTTACTGGCCAATCTTTCGAGCCAGCTAGCATGGTGAAGCCCTTGTACTCGCCAATCTGCCAGACAGAATCCATAACCGTGAAATACGTCAAACGTTCAAAATGGGCGAGTAGTCGCTGTGTTGCGTCAGAAAGATCAAAGTCTGCGCTGATCGGAGCGTTAACCAAGCCGAAACCGCCATGCGGAGAGAACGTCGCCCGGGCGCCATCCCCGGGCACTGATCCTTGACCACTCTGCGTGGGCAGATCTCTCTAGGCGGAGATCTTACAGAATGATGCGTCGGAGTTTCTGGCGGGGAAAAGTTGATTTGGTTTGCCATTTGCAAAACGCCACACTTATGGGGGAAAGCTGATTTTGATCACGTACGTAGCACGGTCCATTTCTACCTGATACCACCATGGAAGATTCCAGAGCATCGGGAGAAATGCCAGAAAGAGCGCGAATCGAGTGTTAAGACTTTCTTTCCAACCTAAGTAGCTTACAGGGGAGCTTCAGTTCAAGTCAACAACAGCGAAAAGCATTGCATCAGACGGATGGAGGATGAAACCGTCGGCTTTTTCTGAAACAGATTTATATTAGAATGGACCCCGTCTCGTCAAATGGGTTTCATTTATCAGCGCACCTGCCCATTAAGAAACGTACTCACGATGAAAAGCCAACCCAGTCTAAATTTGAGGTAGAGAGGGGTGAAGTAGTACCAGAAAGAAAGCGAAATCACGAAAAAAACGGCACCAGACGCGAGAAATGGACCCCTCCTCATGTCGTTGAGTTTCGAGCACTGATGGGACTCGTCATACGCTTTCGCCTCTTCAACCCTTACGCTCTCCAGCTATCTAATCACTCGCAGCTATTGTACTACGGCGACGCGTGATCAGCGATCGGTGGCGGACCGAGCCGAAACTCCCCAAACTTTGAGCCATGCGTTAGATCTCAGAGGTCAAATCTTCGAATGCGATGCGTGTCTGTCCGACACCCTCAAGAGGTTCAGCCGCTCTCCCCACTAGGCGATTTCCCCTTCTTTGACCTTCGTTCTTTCGCTGCAATCCTTCCTTAAGTAGTGGCACTGCCTATCCACTTAACATCCCCGCTAAAGATCACTCACACAGCAACCTGCGCTCATGCACGATAAATGCTTATTAGGGACGTTAAAGCCTCGTCATGTGACTCAACCCTACATTCGTGGTTCCTTCTTCCCCCGTGGTTCTTGTGCTGGTAGCGTTCGAAGCTGAAACTGCGGTCGTCGTCTACCTGTCTGCCTCTGCCTTCCGCGGCAGAGAAGAGGAGGAAAGCCCAATTAGACCGTAACTCTTCTTCAAATGTGTGGGTTTTGGAGTGCCACCTCAAGAATGATTGAGGACTATAGTGCAATGAAGGATTAGACTAAAGTGATAAGAAGATGTGAAATAGTTACCTAGATTTGCGTGATTAGGCAACCTGGCAAAGTATCTTGAGTTTTTCGATGAGTTGTAATAGAAAGTCGTGGATTGTTGCGGATTTCAAGGATCTTATCTCCTTCGGGTAGATAAATTGCCAAGGAATAATAAGCGTCTCCAGTAGGAGTGTCGACAATTCGTATAGCTGTTCCTCCTGAAAAAAGTGTTTGAAGAAACGTTTGACTAGTTATCTACTTAATGACCCCTGGTAGGCAAGGTCTCAGTTCCTTCAAATAGGGCAGCGTAAAGTCCTCGTATTGCGATTGTGATTGTAGATACAGATTTCCATGATACGGCTTTGCGAACAGAGTGCATCATCTCTTGTTCATGGTGTGATGATGAGTAGAGCTTTATTATGTACCCCTGAGCTGACGAATGATTCTTCTTTCCTGCACAACGCACCGACCAGTTCCTTATTACTGTATGTTGCTTCTGCAGATAACATCCTGAAAACCAGAATGGAAATATGGCGTTTCATCGTGTTTTCTTTAGGCTTTCGTTTGACTGACCGAGATTGGCCGTCACCAGGCCAGCGTTCACACTTCTTCTTGAGCCATGTGATGATCGTTATGTCCAGGACGGGGTTTCCGTAATTCGTAATCAGCTCGTGGGAGGGTAGATCACTGTGACAGGATAGAGAACCTCTCTGAACTTCAGTTAGTTTAATCTGGATAGTTGGTCGTCCTGAACTAATTCGTTTCCAGATGATGGTCTTCATGAAAAGGAGCATTTGTTAAGAAGTGTACCTGGGAACATGTGGCCGAAGTTCTCGTAGACGAGGGCAGCGTAGTCTCGTGTATTCTGAGGCGAATCGATATGCGAGATCTCCATATAAACGGCGTTCGAGCACAAATCGTTCATCTGCTTCTCAGTTACTCCGAGGATCTTAGCGTATACAGGCAAACCTTTCGTGCGCGCCTGATTGTGCTCTTTACCGGCACAGGTGCTAACCAACTCCGTACCATTGTATCCACGTTCTTCCAATACACATTTCTTTAAACCTAAAGGAGTAATGTCGAGATGTTCATCAAATGTAGCACACCACGTAGCACAATCGCGGCTTTTCCTACCTTGTGGACGATCTGGAAGAATGATACACTGTTTGCACCAATTTTTGAGTGATTTGATTTCAGTAAGTGGAATCATTGGGTTCTCAATGACTTCAATAATGAGACTGCCCTCGGGATAGATTGTACTGGTGGAATGAGCAAATTCTGGAATCTGCTATTGCTGGTGACATTGATGGCTGGTTGTCCTGAACAGGAAAATCTTTTCTGCGAAGGAGTGAAGTTTGTGGGCGACCTACCGGGGAGGCACGGTCTGAGTTCACGCAGATATGGGCAGCGTAGTTGTGTGTATTGCGAATGATAAATGGTGATGCAAATTTCCATGTAGACAGCTTTTGAGCACAGTGCGTTCAGCTGCGCTTCGGTCACGGAATGGCTGTGTAGTGTCAAAATGTATCCTTGCGCTGGCTTTATGATCGACTTTCCTGCGCACGCGTCAACAAGTTCATTGTCGGAATAGGTTCGCTTCTGGAGACCGCAACCTGTAATTAATAGATTGTTATGTTGACTATATTGACATTGAAATTTTGGTCATTGGTTTGTCAGTTATCAGCCACATTCTGTCACTTTAAGCGCTGTGGTATTGGGCAGTGGTCGCGTCAAGTGTATAGTGATATGTATAGAGTTCATAGAGTACGAGATGGCAAGTCCATGGTTTATACTAAAGGTTTATTGACGCTACACGCCGTTACTCTCTGTGGACCGAGTTAGGTAAGCGGTGCACATGGTGCCCTCGTCTGTTTAACCAGGGAAGGCCTTCAACGTCATAGCGTTTTTTGAAAGGAAACCTAGTTAAATGAACAGTCTGTAATTCACGATAAATTTCCGTGGACTAGTGGTATCGGTCACTTAGGCCAATGACTCGCAGTTTCGATTAGGCTAATGATGGGGCTCACAAACGAAACACGCCTTAAAATTTCAAAGACCTCAGAGCACGTTGCTTCATAGGTATTAGGAGGTACCGGACAGAAGGCCCGTCGCGCGGCAAGAAGGTCAGAGTCAGCGGACGATTCGCAGCGCGTACTGTAGTGAACTCGCGTCAAGTCAAATAGAATGTAACCTCCCCTTCGAAAAGCGAGAAAGAGTCGGGTGCAGAGCAAGCACCACAACTGACGACGGCCTCAGAGTGAACCTGGTCAGAAGTTGTTCATAGTGATGGGATCTGGTGAATGATAGTTGTAATTAGTGGCAATCGATAGAATACCACTGCAACAGGCTAACCATTTCATTGGAGAAAACATCAACATTTTGTGAAGGCCGCCGTCACTTGTAGTGCACGGTCTGCATCCGACACTTTCTCGCTTTTTGAAGGGGAGGGTGGCATTGTCCGTCCTACAGGGCACACACACGCTGCGATTCGTCCGCTGACTTTGCCTTCTGCCGCGCGACGGGCCTCCGGTCGAGTACCCGATATTAGAAGTCACTGTGGGCAGGAAGCATGACCACCTCCACGCTTGAGAGTACTACAGCGCTCCCCTCCTTAAACCACTGGAACAGCGTTTCGGTGACTCCGGTATCTCCACAGTCTTGGTGGCGTACAAATTGATAGTTTCACTAGATTATCCATGTTTCTTACAGAATGCGGACTTATAGCGGCTTGGGCTGCTGGCAGAGGCAGGGTAGAGTGGCAGCATGCTTTGAGCGTCAAGGTTTCCTAAGAGAAAATTGCAGCTGAGATAGAAGGATATGTAGCATCTTTAAGTCCGCCATGCAGGAAAGGCTTATCGAGGGATTTGTCTGTGGATTATGGTGCTACTGGGTAAGTATGGAGTAGGACTTGGAGAAACAGTGGAACGCAATGCACTGTAATTTAGGCGACAAAAAGCGTTGAGTATGAAGAATTACCGAGATTAGCAGTGATTTTGCAACCAGGACAGAGTATTTTGAGCTTATCGATGATAGTATTTGGCAGCCGTGGGTTATCGCTGATTTCGATGATCAATTCTCCAACTGGGAATATGAATTGCCAAGGAATAATAAGCGTTTCAAATTCGAAGTTGTTAACAATGCGAATAGCTGGCCGTCCTGAAAAAAAAACCGTCTGAAGCGTTCCAAGGATGATCGGTATTGTCCATTTGGGCCATTACCTGGCTGACAAGACTTCAACTCCATCAGATACGGGCATTGTAATGCTGTGTACTGCGAATTCATGATATCGATACAGACCTCCATGAAGATGGCTTGCGAGCAAATCGCATTCATTTGTGATTGAGTAACCTTGGGCGAAGTGAATTGGATCTTGTGCCCCTCCGCTGGGCGGATGATTTTCTTTCCCGCACAAGCAGCGACCAGTTGTTGATTTGTGTACGTGCTGCCTTGCAGGCCACAGTCTAAAAACCAATAATCTTCTGAGAATTCGCCAAATTCAGCCCAGCTCATTTCTCGTAAATCAGTTTAAGCTCAAAAAGGGTACCTAAGTTGGCTGTTATATTGCAACGTTCGCACTCATGTTTCAGCTTATTGACGACTGGTATAGGTAGATTTGGATTTTCTGTGATTTCGAAGATAAGTTCGGTCTGAGGGAAGATAATTGTGTCCATAATTACCAATTCTTGGAACTGGATGTTATCAACAATTTTTATCGCCGGTCGTCCTGAAAGGAGTTGAAAGTTAGAATAGGATTGCATTCATGAATCGAGCAGCTAGTGACATACCTGGTTGGCACGGCCTGATTTCTTTCAAATGAGGACAACGCAAACTCGTGAAGTTTGAATTCATAATGGTAATACAGATCTCCATGTAGACCGCATTCGCGCACAAGGCATTCATCTGCTTTTCGGTCACATCCTTGGATGAAACCACTAGAGGGAATCCTTTTTGTCCTTTGATTATCTGTTTACCGGCGCAGACAGTGCTACTTCATTGCCACTGTAGAACCTGGCTTCCAGTTTGCATTGGTTCTCTCCTGCAATAATGACTGTAAATGTTTCATGAGGAATATCGCTCACAATGTAAAGGGTGGGTGAGAATTGCTGTGACTAATCGTTAGTAGTTCTGGTCCATTTCAACCGAGTAAATCCAACCTGTTTGGATCCTAGCCAAGTTTGACTATATCCCACCAGACAATTGTTAGAATTTACTTATTATGTCCGCCATCTCATAGAAAAAGAGCGCTATGAGTTCGACTTCCGCTCAATGACATCCTTAGGAATGTCGTCGTACCTCCCAGAACTCCGTTCGACGATCCAGTCAAACTGATTTGTTTGTATGTTCCATCAACCTCAGTGTATGCTATTGAACAAACTCTGCATAGAAAGCTAATCTATTGGCCCGGAATGATGTCCAGCGAATCGTATCGATTTGCTGCATTTCAAACGTGCGCAAGTTTCGATCCATGTCGACAGCGTCGCCTTGCTAGGAAATCCAATCTTCTGACAATTTTGTAGGGCAAATGCTGTCGGTAGTCTCGAAATACACCACCAAAAACAAGAAGAGGTGCATCGTGCAAATCTCAGTAGCATCTTGATGAACTCTTTTCTATACAAATAACATTGTGCTAGTCGGCAAAGATCGATTCAGACTCGAGTCACAAGCATGAGTTTATTTAGATCGTCTTTCGATGAATAAATTTGCTAGAATACCGTGGAAATACCGACCACTAGACTATACAGTCAAATGAGCCCAATACTGTCAGCCCCGTGCTTACGCGCAAAACGACAGTCACATCTGGAATCAGCTGTTGGGGCTGACGGCAGGACGGTTTTCCTAGTTCGATGAGGATGACACACCGATCCACGGCTAGGGTTACGCTTGTGAACCGCATTCGTAATAACTTGAAGTTCGTTGTCAGTTGTTGGTTCCGTTTAGTTTGACCCCATCACTTGCCGAGTGCGCAGAGCCATTCTCTAAAGTACCCCTCGCAACACTAGATTACATTTTTTGACCCCATTTTTTTGCGCACCTTGCAAAACTTCTCGTTTTTATGCCGTGTAAGGATTTCATGTCTGTCCGATCAGCGCTTCATAGCATGCATTTATCTAGAAGCTTCCCAAACTCGGGCTAGTTTCTCCCGTCCTCCATGAAATTGCGCTGGAAACGTTTCTGCACATGTGAACCCCGTTATTCCGTTGTTATGACCAGGTAACCACTGAAGGAAAGTCTTACGTGTCTCTGAGACCCAACTTAGTGGTTGATGATTACATGGTAGTATGCATCTCATCAGGATTTCGAGTGCTGGGCATGTGCAAGTTAGAAGTTCCACGCCATCGTTGACTCAAAGTGAATATTTAGTCACGCGATCGAAGTTCAAGCTCGTAAGCACCCGGGAACCTGAGATAATTATGCATCAAGGGCAATTATGGATCTGATCCAGTCAATATTCGCTTGACTGCACGGTGCTTTCTGGATATGGATGTGCTAAATGTGGAAAGACTCACACGTGAGACGGTTAATCGGCATGTGCTGAGCAAATGCCTAAATTTCAGATCTCGCTACAAGCGAGGCCAGAAAGTCGTGTTCTGCCTGTTCCACTTAATGTGACTGTCATAATGCTAAGATCTATTGGTTTGCGGATACTTGTGGACTTGCTGGGATTCAGAAGATGGGTATAAAAAGTGAGACGATATGTCATCTGAGAAATCTTTTGTGAGCCGTCGTATTAATATGGGCAGGCTTCTTGTGTCGATTGCAGAGCCGTTGCCGCTGGTTGCACCTGCGCGACGGCCCACTCACGCAGCTTCGAAGGCAGTTATGGCGTGTCGCGGCGAACAATTGTCACAATACCGCCGCCCGACTTTCGAAGCCGCATCCAGTCGTTGCACATTCTTTGGCCCAGCGGATGCCGCTAACGTCGCGTGGGCCTTTCTAGGAAGGCTGTTTGCGCCGTGGGAGCTGGCTGTTGCACGGCGCAGATTAAGGAAGCTAAGTCTCAAGACAGCAAAGGGATACTTCTACCCAGAGCCCGAAAGTTGCGCAGCTAACGCCTGCCTTTCGAAGGCCGGCGCCGTGGGCGCACATTCTGTGCTCCGCTGTGAGAGGCGAATTCTTACACGCCGGTTACGACTAGTGGCATGTCGGTCGTATGGATACTGTAAGACATCTGCCGCACAGCATCGTACGTGCTCAGCGGTGCTGTATTCACGTAAGCCACCTAGTGGAAGAGACAGTGACTTAATCGAGTGAACGCCAGAGTGGAAGCGGCCGATTAACACGAATTACAGCTATGTTATAATATTTGTCCGCAGTTGTGTTCGTAATACTTCATAGTGTTTTAGCTCTAAAGTTCTCACTGAAAAGTATGTTGTATGTATCACTGCAACAGGAACTGCCGCGCGCTGAAGGTAAATTCAGCGGCCGGTGCACTATAGGTAGGTTGAGTGCTACGCTGATGCCCTGTGCCTCGCGGAATTTAGTTAGGCGCTCCATCATACGTTGCGCCAGTGTGCCAGTGGTGGTGCGATAGTAACGGCTTGACTGGTATCGGATCGCAAGAGGCGTAGAAGTCATTTCTTTAGGCGACCATCTTTGCCGAATAAATATAGCGCTGCTGTTGATTTTAAACTGATAGCCGTGTTGTATGGTTGCAGCCTAGGCCAAGTTCTTGTAGCCTGATTGACGCCGCATTGCAATCAGCGATTACCGTGAATTTCTTATGGATCAAGTTCTCCATTGGGACATATAACGTTATTGAGTTCTGAGTATTGGAAAGTAGGTAAGGTTGTTAATTAATGCGTAATAGGCTGGCCGCGTCCTGAAATATAAAAAAAAAACTGGAGCCTCCTAAAACCTAACCGACTATTGACCTGCCAGGATGCATTACCTGCATGACAAGGCTTATCAAGACTTGCCTTCAGATACGGCTACGAATGCTTTCGTACTGCTGACAACTGGAGATCTGCAGATAGCAGACGGGCTTCGGCATAGAGATGGCTTGCGCGCCAAATGGCGCATTCATATTGTGGCTTTCAGATCAACTCATGGATGAATGGACAGCTGTGCATGATTTCCCCCTGGCAGTATGGAGCGAAATGATTTTTCATATATCCTCAGCAACAACAGCGATCAGTTTGTTGACTCTGTGAAAGTCGGCCTATGCAGCGCCAACAGTCCTAACAAAATCAGCACGATTATTCTGAGAGTTGCAAATTTAGCCCTAATCATTTGGCCCGTAGATGGCAGTTTTATGAGCTTGAATAATGGAGTACCTAAGTATTGCTGTTATCAAGGCAATTAGTTCGGCTAGGCATTAATGTTTCGCAGCTTATATTTAGACCTGTTATACGTATGAATTTGAATTTCCTAGTGATTGGACAGATAAAGAGCGTTTTCTAGGGAAGATAATGTGTGCGGCATAATCCACCAAACAGTTCTTATCGAACACGTACATTTTGTCCTTCAATGACCACGAGTGGTTTTCCTGATAAGGAAATTGGAATGTTGAATGCTGTTGGTAACGACAAATCCAAATACCAGTTACGGGCCTGGCATGGCGTAGGGGGGGGCGGGGGGGTCTTTAATTTCATTTTTAGCCCAGCGGCCAGATCGTAAACTCTTGAAATGAATCATATTGGATATAGCAGTTTGCCATGTCAAACGCGGCATTTCGGGCGCACGATAAGGCGTTTCATCTCTTTTTCGGATCATTCATCCGATTGATGAAACTCATCTTAGAGGGAACCCTTGTCGTCCTTTGATTACTTCTTTCCCAGCACATAGTTGAGCTATTTGTTTGCCGCTGTATAGCCAGGCTTTCAGTTGGCACTGGCTATCATCTAAAATTGATCAGCTTGAGCATTTCGTAAAAAATTTTGGAAACAATATTCGGTCTAGCATGTGCTACAACCTGATTTCTAGGACACTTAGGTTAGGCTCTTTTGCTGGTTTGCGTATTTTTTATTAGCTAGGAACAACTAAATGGCTACTCTAATTGAAACGGATACCGTCGATTTTGCAGCCTGGGCAGAGTTCCTTGAGTGGTTTGGTGGTTTTCGTTGACAAGAGCGGATACCGATGATTGCTATGATCAGTTCTCCAGTTGGGAATGTCATCAGGAAAATGTGGATAAAGTGCTCGTGTTCACTCATTTTTCCTGTTTCTGGGATGTCTCGAAACTATATTCACAGATTTTCCAGTGCATACTCTTCTGCGTCATTAGCACTCAATTTCATCTGTATCGCTCTCTATGAACCCGTACCTTTTATCGGTTTCTGGATCGTCTTACAACCCAAATGTGGATTTCTGTAAAAGGGGTGACGCGTCTTCAGGCACGTTCCTCGTTCTGGTGGGTGGAAGAATTAGTTACTAATAAAAGGCCCAAAGTAGTTGTAACGAACGCCCTACGGACGCTTAACGCCCAGAGTTGCTGTAGTTCCGAAGCTCGCCGGGAGTACGACTCGGGATCTGCTTCATGGGCAATGTCTGCGTCTCACTCATTCTACTGCTGCCTCGCATCCGCCGTAGACTCCCTCATCGCGGGACCTAGTATTTCTTCACCGTCGCGCGATATCTAAAATTAGAATTACTACAAGAATACCTATTAGGGTTAGGTTCTCTTCTGCAGTCTCTTTCGTTTTTTTTTTCAGTGTGGTAGCCTGTCGTCCCTTCTTTCATATAGCGTGAACCTCGCTCCAATCGCAAAATGGGACCTTGAAGACATGCTGTTCTGATTGCAGTTGGGTCATCGCACACATCAGTAATATTTGAGATCCCTTGGCAGTCCCTAGTTTCAAAAACTTATTTCGCTGTGTAGGCTATTTTGAGGTTGATTTATAAACTTCTGCGGACATCGCCCATTTGGAAAACTTCTCGCCCAGTGCGGATGGGTCTCCACCTGATCCAATGAGCTGCTGTCTACCTGTGAGCGATTTTTGTCCCTTTTGCAGCATAAATTGCTCATCCTCTGCTTAGAGCCTCTTAAGACGATTCTTGAGGTAGCTTTTAACAAACAGGGTGACGGAAAACTCTCAAGCAAGTCGGCTTCTATAGCGCTTTATACCTACTAAAGATATGCTAATGGTAAGACCAATTTCAAATTTTGCGAAATCAGCGATTTTCTAGGAGCTAATTCCTTGGTTCGCAAAGTCTGACGCCTGCCTAAAGCAACAGTCCAAGCAGGGTTCAGCCACTTAATCCTAAGGGGTGGAAGCATGCACTAGCCCTAGTCAAGTACATAGGAAATGTCGCTGGTTTGAAAACACACCTTTGAAAGGCATTGGAAGGGGGTCTAACGCCTTCGAAGTGGGCGGTTCCACTGAGCCTCGGTGTGGCCACCCACTTCAGTTGTGAAGAGTACGTAATTGGCTGCGCAGACGTTTGCGGTCATTTCGGGACCACTGGGACTATTTGAGGTCAAATTATTGCGCTAAGGGCTCTCAAGCGTTTCGTGAGTGTTAGAGTTTCATGATCCTTTTCCAAGGTCATAGCGGATATCAATTCGAATAGGACTAACGCAACACAATTCGTCATTCGGCCGAAGAAACCTGTTGTGCGCTGGCAGTTTGTATCGTTTTGGAGGGAAGCTGAGAACGGTTCGACTTTTTAGACCCCACCCTTTTTGGAGAAAGTTAGGATGAGTTATTGCCAAAAAATGAAAATCGCACACCTCTGCTCGCTAATGTATAAATGTTTCTCTGCATTGTATATCTACGAAAAACTAAATAAAACGCTCATTTCAAACGGATACCGTCGATTTTGCAGCCTGGGCAGAGTTGCTTGAGTGGAGTGAGAGCCGTACTTGACAGTAGCGGATTACCGGTGATTTCTATGATAAATGGACTTGGTAGGAATATGAATGGCGTGCGAATTTCGAGTACTTGAAGTAGGAGATTGTCAACAATGCGAATAGCTGGCCGTCCTGAAAAAATTGTTCAAAACTTCCCCAAAGTGACTGCTATTCCCAGTCACAGCACTACCTGGTTGACAAGACTTCAACTCCTTCAGATACGGGCATCGGAATGCTTTGTACTGCGACTTGAAGATATCGATACAGACCTCCATGAAGATGGCTTGCGAGCAAATCGCATTCATTTGTGCTTCAGTAACCTGGGATGAATGGAACTGGATGATGTGTCCTTCAGATGGGCGGATGATTTTCTTTCCCGCACAAGCAGCGATCAGTTGTTGACTTGTGTAGCGGCCTTGCAGGCCACAGTCTAAAAATCAGAGATTTTCTGAGAAGTTGCTAAATTTAGCACTAGATCATTTCCCGTAGATCAGTTCGAGCTTGAAAATGGAGTACCTAAGTTTGCTGTTATCAGGCAATGTTCGCACTTATGTTTCAGCTTATTTATGACTGTTATAGGTAGATTTGGATTTCCTGTGATTTGGAAGATAAGATCGTTTTCAGGGAAGATAATAGTGTCCATAATCACCAGTTCTTGGAACAGTAAGTTGTCTTCAATGACTAGAGCTGGTTGTCCTGAAAGGAATTGGATTTGATGTGTTTGGGTAAACGAACAATTAATACCAGTACCTGGCTGGCAGGGTCTAATTTCTTTTAGCCGCGGGCAACGTAAACTCTTGAAATTTGAATCCATAATGGATATACAGATTTCCATGTAAACCGCATTCGCGCACAAGGCGTTCATCTCTTTTTCGGTCACATCCTTGGATGAAACCACTAGAGGGAACCCTTGTCGTCCTTTGATTCACTTCTTTCCCAGCACATAGTTGAGCTATTTGTTTGCCGCTGTATAGCCAGGCTTTCAGTTGGCACTGGCTATCATCTAAAATTGATCAGCTTGAGCATTTCGTAAAAAATTTTGGAAACAATATTCGGTCTAGCATGTGCTATAACCTGATTTCTAGGACACTTAGGTTAGGCTCTTTTGCTGGTTTGCGTTATTTTTTATAGCTAGGAACAACCAAATGGCTACTCTAATTGAAACGGATACCGTCGATTTTGCAGCCTGGGCAGAGTTTCTTGAGTGGATTGACGGCCGCATTTGGCAATAGCGGATTACCGGTGATTTCTATGATCAGTTCTCCAGTTGGGAATATGAACGTATTGAATTCGAGTATTTTGAGTAGGAGGTTGTTAATAATGCGAATAGCTGGCCGTCCTGAAAAAAAAAACTGGAGCCTTCCAAAAGTAACCGATATTGACCTGCAGGACATTACCTGGATGACAAGGCTTCAACTCTCTGAGATACGGGCATCGCAGTGCTGTGTACTGCGATTTGATAACATCAATACAGACTTCCATGTAGATGGCTTGCGAGCAAATTGCATTCATTTGTCGTTCAGTAACCCCGGCCGATCCGAACACCATCATGCGCCCCTCACCTGGGCGGATGATTTTCTTTCCCGCACAAGCAGCGATCAGTTGTTGGCTTGTGTAGCGGCCTTGCAGGCCACAGTCTAAAAATCAGAGATTTTCTGAGTATTTGCTAAATTTAGCACTAGATCATTTCCCGTAGATCAGTTTGAGCTTGAAAATGGAGTACCTAAGTCGGCTGTTATCTGGCAGCGTTCGCACTGATGTTTCAGCTTATTGACGACTGTTATAGGTAGATTTGGATTTTCTGTGATTTCGAAGATAAGTTCGGTCTGAGGGAAGATAATTGTGTCCGTAATTACCAATTCTTGGAACTGGATGTTATCAACAATTTTTATCGCCGGTTGTCCTGGAAGAAATTGCGTTGTCAAAGAGGACTATTGGTGTCAGTTACCACCTATACCTGGTTGGCAAGGTCTGATTTCATGCAGTCGAGGACATCGCAAACTCTTGAAGTTTGAATTCATGATCGTTATACAGATCTCCATGTAGACCGCATTCGCGCACAAAGCGTTCATCTGTTTTTCGGTCACATCCTTGGATGAGACCCTTAGAGGGAATCCTTGTCGTCCTTTGATTACTTCTTTCCCGGCACATACTCGAACCACTTCATTGCCGCTGTATAGCCTGGCTTCCAGTTGGCACTGGCTATCATCTAAAATTGATCAGCTTGAGCATTTCCTAAAAAAATTCTGGAAACAATATTCGGTCTGTTGGATTCTTTGGAAATTTTTGCGATATTTTGGGAGTTTTTTGAAGCCTTCAAGCCTCCTCACTTTCCTTGATAGGAATATATTTAAATATAGAGGGTATGTCTAAGGCATTACTTGATAAATATAATGCACATTTATACATATTGCATGAGTTTGGTTAGTTTGAAAAATACAAATATCAAAGAGGAATTCTGATATCAACTGCAGCTCTATGCATAGATCGACGCTCCTCAACCTTTACCAAGCATAAAGCAGATTCCAACTTTAAGGCCAACGGTATGCTGCGGTTGTGGCATAAGCAGGGTCTATGAAGTGTAGTGTGGCATTTCCTTTTTGCATATTATCTGATTTGCAATGCCTTCTCTGCCAGGAAGTTCTGAACGTCCTGATCCAACAGGAGTACCTTATTTCTACCGGTGTGGATAGCAGAGAGGAACTTCAAACCAAGGTGCAGAAATGACAGAAACTTCTTGGAAAAGGTGGGCTCTGGCTTTAGTCAAGAAGACCAAATTCCTGAGCTTTGAAGAGCATCTAGAACCGCTCGTAAACGGCCATGGTGAGACCATCGAACGACTGGAGGACTTCCGCTACCTCGGAAGCGACTAGCCGCCGATGGTAGTGTGAACCAGACAGTAAAGGCAAGGATCAACGCGGCATGGATGAAATGGAGGGAGTCCACTAGAATCTCTTCGATCGGAGTGCTCCAGAACGCTTAAAGGAAAAGTGTATAGGGCAGTGGTAAGGCCTGCGATGCTCTACGGCAGTGAGTGCTGGGTCCTGAACAAGAATCACGAAAGGCAGCTTCACTCTGCCGAAATGAGAATGGAAATGGGTCTGCGGCTGGACCGGCTAGACAATGTTAGGAACGAGGATATCGGAGCGGTCAGGCAGACTGCTCCTGTCCGCTGAAAGTACGGGAACAGGGTCTGCGATGCTCATGTGCTAAGAGGTCACAGGATCATCCGATAAGAACAGCGATGGGCTTCGAATTGCAAGGGAGACGACCGCGAGTAGCTTCAGAAAGGAGGTGGAGGGACGTTATCGAAAAGGACTTAAGTAAGGTCTTGGCCTCGGTAGAAGATGCCTTGGACAGAGAAAAGTGGCGATGATTCACAAAGGCAGCGGACCCTGCTACTGCGCGAGATTAACGCTAGGGAAAAGAAGAAGATCATCCTGGCTGACGCGCTGCTACTCAGGGATTTCGTGTTTTTTTTTCTTGTGGCTGCCACCCCTCCCCAACTACTGCAAAGGAGGGCCAACTCGTTAATGTGTCGTGATTCCACCCGCGTCCTAGCGTGCTCGTGTGGTACCAGCCCACCGAGGTTACGTCTCGAATTTCTTCATGAGCGATGTCTGCTACTTGCTTCGTTCCTGCAAGCTTACTCGTATCCGAGGCCTCACTTTTCTCATACAGAGTCCTGTTTCTTAGCCGTCATCACAAGCGTCTACAATTACCTACTCCACATGAGGCCCCGTTTCAAGACTCTGCCGTTTCTTTCGCTTTTATCATTAATTCGCTTGCCTGCCATATCCTCCTTTCGCATAGATTAGCGAAGCTTTACTAAATCCTTGCCCTAGCGTGAGATACTTCAACAGCTGTTGTTCTCATGCAATCCGGCCTCACACTTTCAGGCATCTGGTTCTACCACGGCGTTGCCATCTTCGACGATTTTAACTATCACGAGCCGAACTCTGCGTAGAATCACTACTCAGAAAAGTCATATCAAGTCCTCGTCGAGACTGTCCTTCTTCGTGCAGTCTACCACTCCTCCCCTCCCTTCTTAGATTTTTGTTCCGAGCTCATTTTTCAATATATTTTGCTGGAAACACTATTACCTTGCCCATGTTTTGCCGAGAGCTCGACCTTGCCTCTCCTGGCGATTCTTTCGATAACATCGAAGCCGGTAACAGACAGGGAAACGGACGCGGCGACGCAGACAAGGAAACCGCTCTGGATAGCGCTCCGTGCCCAACAAGGATATACTGGGTATTCTTGGGCGTTTCGTAGGACTTAGAACTTCACACGATTCTCTTTTTACTTACTCATACCGGGAACTGAACCAGGTAATAGCGATAACACTACGCACCTCGTAATTTAGCCACAGTTCAAAGGAAACGTGCTGTTTTGCCCGGAGTTAGTTTGGGTGAAATGCGAAAGTTGTTTGACTCTCTTCATTTGAGGCCTCATGTTTGTGAACAAGGTTGGATTAGGTCAATGTCAAGAAATGAAAAGTGCATTTTTCCCCTACTACCGCATGAATGTTTGTATGTTTGTATTGTACACATACAGACCATGTAATAGAATAAGTCGAAAATTTGGAATGGATACCGTTGATTTTGCAGCCTGGACAGATTCTCTTTAGTGGGTTGATGGCCGTCATTGGCAAGAGTGGATTACCGTTGATTTCTATGATCGTTACTCCAGTTGGGAATATGAACGTATTGAATTCGACTATTTTAAGTTGGAGGTTGTTAATAATGCGAATAGCTGGCCGTCCTGAAAGAAATTGTCTAACCTCCCACAAAAAAGTGACCGTTATTACCGAGATAGGCTATCACCTGGCTGACAAGGCTTCAACTCCTTCAGGTGCGGGCATCGTAGTGATGTGTACTGCGAATTGATGATATCGATACAGACTTCCATGAAGACGGCTTGCGAGCAAATTGCATTCATTTGTGCTTCGGTAACCTTAGGCGAACTGAACACGATTATGGACCCTTCGGCAGGGCGAATGATTTTCTTTCCCGCACAAGCAGCAGCCAGTTGTTGCTCTGTGTAGGTACCGCCTTGCAAGCCACACTCTTAAAACAACTGATTTTATGGGAGTCGCTTAATTTAGCACTTCATTCTCGTAGATGAGTTTGAGCTTAAAAATGGTTCACCTAAATTGGCCGAAATTTCGCAGCGTTCACACATATGTTTCAGCTTATTGACGACTGGTATCGGTAGATTTGGATTTTCTGTGATTTTGAAAATAAGGTCGTTCTCAGGGAAGATAATAGTGTCCGCAATTATCAATTCTTGGAACACTAGATTGTTCACAATTGTTAGGGCTGGTCGTCCTGAAAGAAGTATGATTTTCTGTTGGGCTTCATTTTTATAAGCGAATAAGCAGCGTTGTTACCTGGTAGACAGGGTCGAATTTCTTTGAGTCGAGGGCAGCGTAATGCCGTGTAGTCTGAATTCACAATGAATATGCAGATCTGCATGTAAATAGCATTGGCGCAGAAGGCGTTCATCTGCTCCTGTGTCACATTCGACGAAGAGAGAGTTAGGTAGAATCCTCCTGTGGGCGCGATATATTCGGCTCCAGCACATTTTTGAACCAGCTCCACATCACTGTACCTACGGTATTCTAGGCCACAACCCTCTGGAAAAAGAAATCTGCGATTAATCTCTGTTATCGTCGCAGCTACATCGCAGTGAACTGTGAGTCCAAATTGCCGACTTTGGGTGACCGAAGTATCTGGTACCCGTCAGGAGGCCCGTCGCGCAGCGAGAAGACAGATACGTAGAGCGGTAAGCTGACGAATCGTAGCGCGTATTGTAGCGTGATAACTTTCATGTTGCCCAATACGCACCGCTTTCTTGTCCGCTAAGCCGTCTGCGTGCTCGCCGCACAAAGGGCCTCCTGTCAGCCCCCGAATTGTCCACACCAGAACTCTGCGACAGCACAGCCTTGTCTTATTCGCACCATGTTCTCTTTTTCTCAGTCTCTTCTCAGTCTTCCTCTGCAAAATCATGCTTCTCTCGAAATTTGTCCTATTTTTCAGTCAGGCCCATTCAGGTCATCGAACTTTATTTTTTGAACAGCCTTCAGTTGTCTTTTGAAAAACTTCTCTTAAAAAACCTTCTATCGCTTGAGCCGATGTCAGACTTTGCGAATCGAGCGAATCGCTAGTAGCGAAGTCTGACATCGTCCTTATGACATTTGCTTTTCTACCCCCTATCGTATTTGTACAACTTTTCCGGTGGTATCCTAACGTAATGGTCTCGGTGAGAACTATTTTTTTTCTGGTCAAGCTATAACATTTAAAAGCGTACTCAGTCCTCCTATCTGACACTGCGGACAGATCTTCTTCAGTGTTCTGATATTGGAAGGGGGAACCATCGGGTTGCCTTCCACAATAATATTACGTTCTTTCGGCGGGTACACGACTGTCTCAGGGATAGTACTGACTAGTGACTTCGAATTGGCCCGTGACTCAGTCAGTTCCGTTTCATTTTCACTGATTTTCAACGGTGGAAGTATAAACCTACTCATAATTGGTTTGAGTACGCAATACTTGCACTTTTCGACAGGAGGATATTGTGTAAGTCCAGGGTTGTAGACAATGTGGAATGAGTGGTCACAAATCTCCCATTTGAAAGTGGTTGACACTTGAATTACTTCCAGGTACGGATTGTTTTCAATTGTGAATGCCAGTCGACCTGAAACATCGATACGAGGGAAGACCAACTCACCAAACCCATGAACTTACGTACCTGGTTTGCATGGATACATTTCGACCAAGTTAGGCATGCGGAGGTATTTAATTTGTGAATTCCGTAGAGTAATGCACATTTTAATGTAGGTAACATCTTGGAACAGCTCGTCCACAAATTCTTGCTTTAAGACGGAAATGTCGATCTCGATGATTTGATTTCCGCTAGGCTTCCAGATCCTTTTACCACCGCACAGCTCAACAAACTTTGTAACATTTCTAGCATCCTGCACCGTAATCGAGTCGCATTCTGAAAAAATCCGAAGCTAGTTCTTTTTCACTTTCCTCTTCTTCACACACTTTTATGCCATTTTTGCCTCAAACCACTTTCTGAGGTTATTTAAGTTGCAAAATACTTTACCTAATTTTGGAGATAATTTTAGTATGGCCGTCCTGAAAGAAATTAGTCTAACCTCCCNCAAAAAAGTGACCGTTATTACCGAGATAGGCTATCACCTGGCTGACAAGGCTTCAACTCCTTCAGGTGCGGGCATCGTAGTGATGTGTACTGCGAATTGATGATATCGATACAGACTTCCATGAAGACGGCTTGCGAGCAAATTGCATTCATTTGTGCTTCGGTAACCTTAGGCGAACTGAACACAATAATGGATCCTTCGGCAGGGCGGATGATTTTCTTTCCCGCACAAGCAGCAGCCAGTTGTTGCTCTGTGTAGGTCCTGCCTTGCAAGCCACACTCTTAAAACAACTGATTTTATGGGATTCGCTTAATTTAGCACTTCATTCTCGTAAATGAGATTGAGCTTAAAAATGGTTCACCTAAATTGGCCGAAATTTCGCAGCGTTCACACATATGTTTCAGCTTATTGACGACTGGTATCGGTAGATTTGGATTTTCCGTGATTTTGAAAATAAGGTCGTTCTCAGGGAAGATAATAGTGTCCACAATTATCAATTCTTGGAACACTAGATTGTTTACAATTGTTAAGGCTGGCCGTCCTGAAAAAAGAATGATTTTCTGTCGCGGTTCATTCTTATAAGCGAATAACCATCGCTGTTACCTGGGAGACAGGGTCGAATTTCTTTCAATCGAGGGCACCGTAATGCCGTGTAGTCCGAATCCACAATGGATATGCAGATCTCCATGTACACAGCATTGGCGCAGAGGGCGTTCATCTGCTCCTGTGTCACCTTCGATGAAGAAACAGTCAGGTAGAATCCTTCTCTGGGCGCGATATATTCGGCTCCAGCACATGTTTGGACCAGCTCTACATCACCGTACCTTCGAATTTCTAGGGCACAGCGCTCTGGAAAAAATCGATGATCAATCTTGGATTTTCAGCTACGTAGCTGTGCACTGCAACCCCGACTTGGGGTAGCCGAACTATCTGGTGCCGGTCAGGAGGCCCGTCGCGCGGCGAAAAGGCAGATACGTAGAGAGATAGCTGACGAACGTAGCGCGTACTGTAGGGTGATGACTTTCATGTGCGCCGCTTTCTTGTCCGCTGATCCGTCTGCGTGCTCACTGCGCAGCGGCCCTTCTGTCGGGTATCCCGAATTGTTCACACCAGAACAGCACTCTGCGACAACGCCACCTTGTCTTCTTCGCTGCCATGTTCTCTTTTTTTCTCATGTTTCTTCGCAGTCTTCCTCTATAAGTTCATGCTCTCTCGAAGTTTGTCCTACTTTTCAGTCCGGCCCATTGAGATCTTCGAACTCTATTTTTTGAACAGCTACAGTTGTCTTTTGAGAAACTTCTCTTGAAAAAAACCCTTCTATTGCTTGAATCGATGTCAGACTTGCAAATCGGGGAGGACAAGCTAGACGAAGAGGCAACAAAAGTCCACCCATGGACACCACGAACGGCGATGTTCTGGACCGCTGGGCTCGGAAAGGTCCCGCCCCCAATCAAGGTCCGCCACACGAGATCACCGAATGGTCCCCGAGGACGTAGAATAGGATTACGGAGGAGGTCTGGTAATATGGAAGGCTGTAAGGAACCCAATCCGACACGAGAAAAAGTCGACAACTACGAAAGTGTGCATCCAGCATCTAAGTCGCGCGGGCACAGAGCTAGAGGTTTTGCTAGAGGACTGCGTGGAAACTGTGTGACCGTAACTTATAATGAAGACTTATGAAAGGACGAACTCGCTCTGAAAAGATTACCAACACCTATGAACATTTTACTCACCAAGGAAATGCTGGAGAGAACCTGACCACATCAACCTGCCTTTGCCTTTCACGCTTTCTGTGCTCTTGGATCCAGGCTCACCTTTACGTGAATTTTGCGTGTACCCCTTTTTCCCGTGACCTTTTATCCATCTCTTGTCTGTTTGTCATGAAATCACCTAAAGCCCGATATTTACCTGAATAAGTAAGGTTAATTGGGCTCAGAAAGCATGGCCCAAGATGTGGGAGCACAAATTTTAGGTGTTTCATCCATGGTAGGTAGATGAAACACTTATAAATTTGTGGCCAGCCCTGTGGCCTGGTCGTTGCGCGGCCCGAGAACAATCCCAAGACCGGGATAAAGTGCCAACACGTGAGGAATAGGTCGCGAAGGGTGAAGATTTATTATGGTGATCACTATAAAACTTATGAGTCATTCAGGCCAACATTTCAACCGTCCCATCGTTTTTGAAGACCTAAACACGGCTATATCTGGAGAAGCAACCGTTATTTCACCAGACGCCCCTCCTCTCCAGCGTTTCTGATGTGCTGTGATGCCTTCCACCTGACACCCTCGTAGTAAAGAAAACAACGCAAATAGTCACTCTAAGTCCGAGGCTTCACGATGAGAGGACTTGGAGTACTCATGGCTCAACTGAACGACGACGTTAACCAGTTACCTAACTTTTTGAGTAATTTTAGTAGAAGTATGAACGCACTTGTGATCGGCGCGAATTCGCAATACTTGCAGCGTTCAACAGGAGGATAGTGTGTAAGTGCAGGGTTGTAGACAATTCGGAATGAGTGGTCACTAATGTCCCATTTGAAAGTGGTTGACACTTGAACTACTTCCAGGTACGGATTGTTCTCGATTATGAATGCCGGTCGACCTGAAAACATCGATACGAGAGAAAACAGAACTCACCAAACCCATGAACCTACTTACCTGGTTTGCATGGATACATTTCGACCAAGTTAGGCATGCGGAGGTATTTGATTTGTGAATTTCGTAGAGTGATGCACATTTTAATGTAGGTAACATCTTGGAATAGCTCGTCGATAAATTCTTGCTTTAAGACGGAGATGTCGATCTCGATGATTTGATTTCCGCTAGGCTTCCAGATCCTTTTACCACCGCACAGCTCAACAAACTTTGTAACATTCCTAGCTTGCTGCACCGTAATCGAGTCGCACTCTGAAAGAATCCGAAGCCAATCCTTTTTCACTTCCCTCTTCTTCACACTCTTTTATGCCATTTTCGCCTCAAACCACTTTCTGAGATTATTTAAGTTGCAAAATATGTAGGAGTGTTCATAACTCGCTTCCAAAATTTGAAATTCTGAAAGTAAAGGCGACGCACTTGAGAATTGCTACCATGCCCACCTTGCTGATGTAGTTGATATATGCGTTTCGCTAGTTCCCCATTCTCTCTCTCCTTCAAATCTGTTCTCGTCCTTCGGTTCCCATTGTCTCATTTATATTACCTATCGCTGGTTACTATTACAATGTTTACGCCTACGCGCCATCGCCCCATTATAAGTGTGGCTTTATTTCAACTACTTGGGCAGATTCTTACTTTTTTCTCTCTACAGGTCACTTACCACCTGCTGCTCTACATAAGAACACCGTTACGCCACATCTATAAATCACGGTATGTGCCTTTAAGTCAGTCAAATGAATTGTCCAGTACAGTAGTTACCTCAGCTACTGTTTCCAATAGGTTACTCCTTTATGTTGAACTGGTACATGAAAGATGGCTAGGAATCATATAGAATATTCGATTAGGAATGGTTCTCCTCGAACAACCTCCAGGGTTAACACAAGAACTGAGCAGGTTCATCTAAGTCTCCAGCTAAAAGTCAAACGGGCAGCCCGCTTTGATGAGCTCACATTTTATAATTGCACCTCTATTTCAACGTAAATTCGTACGATCTACGATGTTAAGTAACTTCCAATCTGTTTTCAAGTAAAAATACGTCTTCACTTTACCTTTGTATACTTGCACTTTGCAGAAGCGACATAGTGTTGCGAGTGGATTGAGCACTTGTCCGGTCACGAGTATATTGTTCCGTACCTCAACGTTCCACATAGCGTTCAATCTACCAAAACCCTCGGAATGGTACATAGGTAAGCTGATCCACTTCAATTTGTCATTGTGCACTACCCTCAAAGTGCGTTCACCTGAAAATGCCTTGTTTTACTTCAACTTTGGTCATTTTTACGTACTTTTCCTTATTCGTATAATAATGCGGGAGCTGAACTTCGAAATTTTTTTAAACTTTGAAAAATGAGTGTGTTCTTCTAATGAGCTTGGTGTTTCCCTTGAGAATTGCGTTCGGACTTCCAAACTAAGTCGTACGAAAGTATCAGTTGATGCGAAAATAAAGGCTCTTGCAGTAAAGAAAGTTCCATGCAGTTACCTATCAGAAGACTGCTTTCCGGTCTGAAATCATGAATTAGAGTTACCTGGACCACAGGGAATATGTCGCACAAGTTTTGGGAAAGTCAACTGCGTCCACTGAACGTCTTGCATGGAGATACCCATCTGTACATGGGTTGCCTGTGAGAACAGCACTTTGAACTGTCGTTCTGTGATCTTGTTGAGGTGCAAAGTCATCGAAGTCATTGGTTTGACTTTGATAATCTTTTCTCCTGCGCACTGTTGTATGAGTTTGTCATAGTTGCTGAACTCGACCGGATCCAAAGCACTGCACTCTGAAAAAAAAATCGCTTTCAAGGCTCAGAAGAAGCCTTTCGAACCATCAAGGCGTGGGTCTGAGTGTGGGAATCGTTTTCATAAACGTACATCTTCCCGAAAAAAAATTCTTCAGATTGAAACCAACTAGAGAGCACGTTTTTCTTTCCGTTGCTTGCGTAGTACAGGGACGTTTTGCGAGCACAAGTGGGAAACAAAAAATGTAACCTTCGGTAAATACAGGCTATCTCACTACTTTCAATCACATCGGTCCCATTATGCTTAGGTATGGTGTTGAAAATAGATAAACATTTCGAACGGAAGTCTAACATGCGAAATAACGAATGAGGGTGTGGTGCTCTAGCCTACCACGGTGTCCCTGTTTCCTCTAGGCGTGGTCCACTATGGTATCACATAATCTTCAAGGTGGTAAGCCTTAGCACTCGCGCCAAATTTGAAGAACCCCGAGCTCCGGAAGCTTTCTAGTAGAAAGTACCTGTTCCCTTCTGTCATACACCCATCACATTTTGTTAAGACTGACTGAACTACTAGCAATGCGTGAAATACGTACTTGTCCAGGGGAAAATGTCACAGTGCGGGCAGAGGTGACGTAGATCGCTCATACTGTCGGAGTCCAACATCGGATTACCATCTACTGTAACCGTGGTTGGTCCCGCTTGCGTACGCTCGAATTGCCATCGTCTTTGAATCCGGAACGATTTCAAATTGACGTTGTTACGGATCGTGAGACCTGAAATGAGCTTCTCTGGAGAAAATCAGATCGGTATTAGTATGTGATTAATCTTGTTCAATTTGGAGCAAGCATAGGCCAGTGACATGTGACGTCTTACTGTACCTATAGATTGATTTCTGAATCTTTTGCTGGCTAGAATAAAGGTGCCACCAGTTCGCCTGAGAGGGTAAAACAGTGATTCGACTGTCAATTATCCCTCGCTAGTCGTGATACTGACCGAATTGAACGGCACGGCCCACACAAACACTCAGAGCTTGAACACTCAAAGCGATTCCATACGTGAGTTGAATACATTGTCCCTCACCAGAGGTGAGTCCTCTCTTATAGGCGCAGTGCATTTCTGTCTCGATAAAGCACTTCTCATCAGTCTTTGCAAGAAATTCAACCGCAGGCTTATAGCTACATAATCAAGAGCAGAAGTTCAATGCGAGGTGCAACTCGGTTAATGCTGAAAACAATATCTGTCCATGATCTTGAATCGCTATTCTCTCTCTCCGCATCTCTCCAACCTTTCATGCTACACAGTACTTGGGGTGACTGTGAGGTTGGGTTGCTGTGGTTCTTCTGGAATACTATTAGCTACTGTGGGCTTTGGATATACTGCTGGCTTCTGCTAGAATCTCTCAAACCATTTTTTGCACTTTGTTCTTGAGAAATCGAGAGTTTTTGAAAACTCGAAAGCCAGACCGAAAATAATCATATAAAACAAGGAGTTAATATGTGTTTTTTTCTGAGCGTCAGTCGCAAACGGTGATGGAATCCGCCTGCTTTGGTCACTCGGCCACATACTCCCTCCCAGTTGACTTCGCTAGGTACTCAGACAAGCATCATCAGTGCGATCTCCTTGTGGTTGGTTCCTCAGACCTGAGAGGGCGCTACTACCATAACGCTCGCATTCAACCCGTGCTTCAATCGAATTACATCCGGCTCAGCCAAGTCTCTCTTTCAAAATTAGCTCAAGTGCCGCCGAATTCCAAAGACAAGTTCCGGGCAAGACTTATGGAGAACTCGGTGGGTAGGGTAGAGCTGCAACTGAAATTCCTGGTAATCTATTTGATAACTTGAATAGAGCTGTCTGCTAGCTTCGCCAACCCGCCATTGGTTGTTTTGATATTTTCGTTGATTCCATACTCCCTACTTTCTGCCCACTCCGCACCTTCAAGATGGGGGACCTTCAGCGCTCTTACTCATCAATTTTATCCTGGGATTCTGGATTTCACCAGTGAAGGTCAAAAACTATTGGCGTACAGGGAACTATTGGCTTGACAGGCTCTCATTGATCATTGCATATGTATGTCACGTTCGCGTCCGCGACAATCTCGAAGGGATGTCAAGTATGTGGCGCATTTCAAAAACATGAACCTGAGCGCAATGAAACGTGAATTTTGAGGAATGCAATGAAAAGAAAACATAAAGATTCCTCATTAGCTTACCTCCGTTCAGATATTCCAATTTGGACATTCTCACTTCTTTGAAATCCGTGTTCTGCACGTAGATATGGAACGAAACCCGACGAGCATTCGCAAATACCTTATTGAACATATGCTCGTTCAAGAAGCTGGCATGGAAGTCATCGGAGACACCGCGATCGAAGCCGAGAACCTCTTTGCCGGCACAGTCGTCGACGAAGGTCTCATAGTCAGCTTGCGTAACCATGTCGTGATAAGCAGCACATTCTGAAAAAAGTAGTATCGTTTGCTGAATTAGGACAGATGTTATTCCCTCTACTCCCATTGAAATTATACCTTCATCTGAAAGTTGTGCTTTGACATGAACGAAGAATAGAAGAACACAGCAGGCTATTATTCGCAGATTGATCTAAATGTATAGTGTGATCAATGAAATGCCCAAAAACCGAATCTTCAGTGGGCAATGGAGCAAATTAGGCTGGTCTGTTCGCCCTTGTGGAAATGACTGCTACCCAAAAGAGCTCTCAAGAGTGAGCTTCTGGGAGATATGGCCCCACTACTAAAGAGAGATTTTAGTGTTCGTTTTTCGGATTTTATGAGATTTAGAATGATAACACCCCACTCTCACCTATAGCTCATGAACCGTGTGTTGCACCATGCGCAGCACCCTGCACGAAAAACTATAAGTGTATTTGATTGATTGAATGCCCCTGCCTACAAAGTCACCAATACACTTTTTGAACCACAAAAGATATGTATTCGAACATCGTAAAGCAACTGATAGATTTTTGGTTATAGGTAAGACACTACGGCGAAAACCAGCGGAGGTGCACACATAACGCTAGTTCGCAATGTTTAAGGTCTCCACGAGAAGGTAGAGTTACATAGAAGGGGAAACGACCGGCTGGAAAAGCAGGCGGCACTTGAGGGTGTGGGACGATGCGTGTTGTCATGCGAAGAGGATGCGCGAGTGGCTCTGCAGGATTACCGGTGCCGCTCGCGCCGCTGCACGCCCACCGATGGGTGAACGACGAGTCAGACGACGAGGGTTCAGCAGAGAGAGAGCGTTAGCGTTGATGAGAGCAACATGGATGAGGCTTGTCTAACGCGCAAACCAACGGGCAAAACAAAACAATTTTTCGGTTTCTAGTCCGTTTTCCTTGATTTTCTTTCATCCCGGAATCGATGCCCACATTTACCTTGATTCTTAATGGGCTGTCTTTACCTTGTGAACTCGCCTTTTGATGGCAAGAGGTGTTGTACGAGCACTATTCTGGGTTCCGAGAAAAGAGCGTAGCTTGGTTCAAGTGTTGGAAGAGAATTTCGCAGTGGAAAGCCGTAACGTATAGAAGACTGAATCGGATTCTCGTAGTGCTCCCATGCTCCGAAGTATGCTGTGCCGAACAAAAGAGCTGCCTCATTCAGATTTCAGAGAAAATAAGCCGTTCCAGTAAGATGCTCAGGGGTTGCGATGCGAATGAACAACCATGAGCCAGGGACGGGGATTTTTGCTCCGGAATTAGGGAGAAGAAGCTCCGATTTGGGCTTTTTTTCGTGCAGAGGAACCAACTCGAGTCGGAACTCCTCGTCCCAGCGGTGGGTGTGTTTGAGAACCAGGAATGGTGCTTTTTCGACACCCTCATGACGCTTTATCCGCCGTACATGGCGCCCCTTCTGCCGCGAGAATGTTTAATTGAACCTTCCACTACTCATCTTTCCCTCCTATGAACAGCAATTTTAAGAGTTTCGACTTAAACCTTGTGAAGATTCCAGATCAACATGCTCTACACGAGCTTTTATGCCAAAATGTACACTTACTACAATAGAAAATCGCCCACGCAACTATGAGCACTCACCTGCATTTTGGGATCGTTGTAATTCATGAGCTCATCAAAGAAATACGAAATAACGGGCGTTTGGTGGGCGTTAGATCCCCTGCGACACAAGGGAGAGACCCAATGCAGCACGATCGTTGCTGAGTGCTCTTAAATACCGAATGCGCCCTGGTTTCCACGAATACACATCTTTAGCTGAAATGGCTTTCAATGTTTCACATAAAAATTTGATGCCTTTTTATGTAGCCGTAAATTCCTTGTGTTTCGTGAATACAAAATGTTTTTCTGTGAGCCAGTGGCAAAGACGATCAGCTGACCGATTTCAGATTGTTTGAAAACTTAAGCATGGGAATCTTCAAAATTCGTAGTCCCTCCAAAAATTGCTTCCCTTCACGGAAAATACTGATGCATTGAGGTCCCCAGAAGTAGCGCGGGACAACTGCCACCGACCCACTTCTGTGCAGCATCGCAGACTTCGATCCATTACCTTTAGTCAGAAGATTGAAGCGCGATTGTGAACACTAGTCAAATCTCACAGGCTCCCAGTTCATCCTGTCATCGTCAATTTTCCACTTTCCATGAGATTTTGTAAAAGGAGCGTTCATAGGTGAGGTTGGAGCTAGCCAAGGTTTCTAATTTAGCTGTTGGTGGAGTCTTGCAGCGAAAAATTTCCTTTATGTACCTCCATGAAATTAACACTGCATTGTCGCCCTCACTATCTTCAGAATTAAGGCTGTCTGCCATGCGGTCGTGCTTTAGTCGGCTGTAATTGATCTAGCTTCTTTCACTTCATCGGTTCACTGACACAGAACTTCTAGATACATTAGCTCTGACTATATGGGACCCCTACGGACCAGCGCTTCAGTTGACGTCGTAGTGGTCTACGATCCGTCGAGGATCTTGTCGAGGACTCTCATCGTGAACCATGTCTCCGTGTCAAATCCTACTGATGCTGTCCACGTAGAAGGCTGTTATGAATTTTCCATAGAACGAAATTGGCTCTTCAATTCTTATTTCCGCCCCCTCTCCCACCTTTGTTTCCCTGCTCAGTGATAACATGTTGAAGTGCACGTTTTTCGTGAACGACGGTGGCAAAGCGATTTTATGGGACTGTATTATAGGAATGCGCAATTATATTGATCAATAAAAATTTCGCCCCTCGGCACAGCACGGCGCCCACACATCAGTTTTAATTTACGGAAAATGCAGAACGATATCATCAGGGTGTACAGTAATTGTTTTTGAAGCTTTTGAGCTTTGTTTGTAAGTGACTTCAAAATCTAATCAAAAGCTACCATAAAAAAAGAATAAAGCTTTTGCCGTTGATCAATCCCGTCTTGGGATGCGGCACGCATTCTACTTCCATTTGTGAATTCGTAGTGGCGTTTGAATGCGACGTGGCCTATACAATGACTTGCGGGGGTCATCCGATGTACAAGTCAGTGTTTTTATCCTCCCAGACAAGTCTGGTACCAATTAACCGACCCCGGAGGGATGCAAGGCTTGGTTGGCCCGAGCGACTCACGGCCTAGGATTTGATCCCCGGACCGCTCGCGTGGTGAGCGTGTCACTTGCCACTACACCCTTCCGCCCAAAGCTACCATTGTAATCACTAATTTGTTGGTCAGTAGTGCGCACAGCCACCCGCCAGTTTGGGCAATAAATAAATCCTTGCTCTTTGGTAGTCATACCCTGAAAAATCTTAGAAGCAATGAGCACGATAACTCTGGGCGGATTTACATCGAAGGTGAGGCAGGAAGAATCCCTTCAAATATTCCTACAAATCAGCCAAAGGCGAATCTTTTTATTCAAAGATTCGACAATTTGCGGCTCAGGATAGGGAGTTCGGGGACGAGCATCCCGACGGAATCCATGCTGGGATGCTCTTACCCAAACAGCCAACTCTAGGCCGCTTTTCGTCTAAAATCGATCAACGAAAATGGGTTGTCTTTTTCTTATTTTGTAAAAGTTCCTATGTTTTTTCACAATTTGGATACTACTGAAATTAACACTAAAAGTTTGCAAGAAGTGGAAAGTATGAGAGCTCTCAAATTTCGTGTGGGGAGCATGGGTTCTGTTGAGCTGTTTCGCGAGGGCTCACATACCGAGTAAACAACGCGAAGGCAGAAATCTGGCTTTTTTCAACCGATCACAAAGGTTTTCGGAATCACTGTTCGTAGATGTTTCATTATAGTTAGCACTGATGCGCAAAATTAAGGACGAAACGTTCTTTCAAGATGTGTTACTGGCGAATAACAAAACTCCATGGAATCTAATCAACAACTAAAATAGGATAAAAGAGCTGCTACAGTGCAGTACAAAGCGCAATTGACAGGAACCGTGAAACGTAACACAAAGCTATCAAAAAGGATGTGCTACTTCATCTATCTCGTCTTACAGGTTTTGCGCATCCAGTGATTAGGTTGTACGGGAAGTCCTGGTCTTTGACAGCTAATCTTCAATAAATCCTATAACTCCGCCTCATACTGTAGCAGTTTATTCAAAGTGAGTCCCATTCGAATGACACACTTTTTTGCCACATGTGCTAGCAAGTTTGCTTATTCCATCCTATAACAAGTCTGGCGACTGGCTCCCATTCGAGATAGGCAGTTTTTTAGCTCGTCTTCTTATTCAAATACTCTATTTTTTAAGAAGCTATCCTGATATTTGACAAAAAAAGGAAGTCAGTTGGTGCTAGGTGGAAGTCAGTTGGTGCTGGGTCTGGTGAGTATGGAGAATGGGGAAAAGTTTCGATCCGCAACTCGTCCAACTTCTGGAAGACGATTTGTGAAACATGCGGTCGCACATTGTCGTGCAGAAGTAGTGGAACATGGCGATTTACCAGTACTGTTTGCACCCGCTCCAGTTTCCATACATATCGTGAATATAATCACATTAGGGCTGTGCAGTGATGGCTTGAACAGGTGGAAGAAAGGTGTAATGGATACCTGACAAGACCACCAAACTGTAATCATCTTTCTGACATGTGAACTTGGTTTGGGAAAAGTTTTCGGAGGTTCATCCTAAGCTACCTCTGAGCAAAACCTTTCTAGATCATTTAGTATCGCAGTTTTATCACAGGTTGCGAAACGATGAAATAATGGATCAAGAGCGTTCGTTCTTAGGAGCGAACTTGCAACCGCCAGGCGTCTCAACTGCTGCTGCTCCGTGAGGTGATGCGGCACCCATTTGTCAAGTTTTTTGACCATTCTCAAGGTATTTAAGGTGATTAGCAATAGCTGTATGGGAAACACCGACATTCTTGGTGACCTCTTCCAAAGGATGACGTCAATCCTTTTCAACTGCTTTCATCAAAACATCGTGATCAACTAGCGATGGTCAGCCAGCTCGCTCTTTGTCTTCCAACGAATCTCTCCATTTCTGAGCTTTTTGAAACCAGCGACGAACCGCTCGTCCCATTGCAGTGTATTCTCCCCAAGCCATGTTCCCATTTGTGGTTGCCTCCGTTGCCGTTCGACCAAGTTTAAAACCATGAAGTAAAACGGTTCGAAAAGCAGTCTTATCCACGGTGCAAGAAAACTTCCAATCATTTTCAAAAGCTTTCGGAGTTTCGAGAAAAATGTATTCTTAGGAGGAGCAACTCTTCGCTTACCTAAGTAGCACAATAATTGGTTTAATTGGACACACGACGAAATTCGGTTTTCACACGCGTGCAAACGGCCAGAACTTTCCTTACGAACTAATACAAGTTTTTTAGACTTTCTGTTGCTCCTCATGACGTACTACTCATTTCATCGCCGCAAAAGTTCCCTGTTTTCTTTAAAAGACTTCTGAGACTGTCTGAACCTTCAATCAAGTTTGACCGAATCAAGAGTATCTCTTGCTGTTTATTTCGGATTTGCGGCAAGGTCAGGGGTGTGTTGAACTTACGATTATTGGTCCTATAAGCGCCACCAGTGTATGGGTGGAATTGACTTGTTGGTGGCGTAGATCAGACTTCTCTGCGTACTTTCGGACTGGCTTGCGGCTAATTGTAAGTATCTTCTCATCAGTGAAAAGAATCTACGAATGAAGTTTTCTACGACCTCGAAACGCTGTCTTCTTGCACCTCTGCTTTTTTCGTTTGCTTGCCTCTGCTAGAAATTTGCTTTCATCATGCATGAAGCGCTCACTCTGAGATGTTTGCTGAAAATGTCCCGCAAGAAAGTATGCTAGATTCCCTTTTGGGCAAAAACTACGAATTTGGACGTTGAGTACCTTGGAATCTCCACACTGGTATCTAAAGGATATTGCTGTTACACATACAGCACTTTCTTTTCGTAACCAGTCCTCTACTTATGGTATTTGGATGGATAAACTTTGTAATAGGAGCCAACCGAGGCCTACTGCACACTCCAAGGCATTTAGCAAAGTAACACACATGAACACCCCATCCATTTGTGCTCATTTGATGTTGCATTGATAACTGTGAGCCCTTGAAGCTTTCGGACTTTAATCAGAACTTTAGCTTGTTCATAATTCTCAAAAAGCAGGACCGCCATTGCTTAACAGCAGTATTAGCTACATGGCGTTTGAATTATGCTAGTGAAAGAGAGACGGGTATCTTTTCACTAACATCAAATAATCACTGCCTACTCCTGTGCTCCTCGCTCGCTAGTTAGTGTTAGATTGCGCCAACAAAATCTTCATGGTGCCTCCTCTATTTTGAATATGTCGGCTTGAAGGCGCAATACCGGTGATCCCACATGTTCCATGCCAGTATGAACCAACAGAGATCGAACCTTGCGTCCCATTTTTGAAGATCTTAGACCTCAGTTACTAATTCATAACAGCTGCCTTCGGTATTTTGGAGTGCGAAAAGTACCGATTCGAGTAAGTAGTTTACGAGTGGGGTTATCTTGACTTTTCCCAAGCGCAAACGTGCTTCTTTTCGTGCCATTGGAAACCGTAACGCTGGATTCAACTAGGAGTCGCACATGCGACTTGTAAACACGAAGCAGAGCTTCTTTATTATCTGTTTATTTTTTCTTTATTGAAATACATCACAAGGATGCGTCTACAAACGGTGAATTAGGAAACCAAGCAAATAGGCTAGCTTTATGCACACCATCAATCATATTAGTAAGGATGTCATTGGTGGTTCCGTATCCAGAATGGGTCTTAAGTGATGCATTCAGATGACACTTTCACCTCGGTCTACTGCAGGTAGTTGTTAGGAGACGGATCGCATGGTCGCGATCGGGTGGTGGGGAGGCGGTGTCCGTAAACGAGTGCTTATTCAGAAGCTTCATAACCACACAACACCTCTCTATCGAATATCTTTTGAGATGTAGTGTGTTAAACGAGATCATTGACGACATGTGTGCTTCTTTCTCTTTTTGCCATTCGAGTCGTAGAAGTAGGAATTGTTGCAATGCTGGATCCTCTAATATGACTTCAAGTTTGTCTTCTTCCTGAAGAAATATCCTGAAAGCAATCAGAGTAGCTTTAATGAATGGAATTGGATTGGATAATGGAATTGGAAAAGCATGAATCTTTTGAAACCTGTAAATAATGATCGAACCTGGATACTCTCCTCGGCATGATTTGAATACACCATATGTGAAGAGTCGAATTCTTCTTTCGTGCTTCCAAATTTTACTTATAAGATTCATGTCGAACCCAACTCTTTTCTTATTTTTGTACTATGTGCCGAACTAGGTTTTTAAGATAGAATCTTTATTCAGTGGCCTGACGTTTCGACCGCTTCGCCTTTTTCAGAGGTCTGGAGATTGTCTGAAACTTTTGATTCGTTAGCTATTCGATCCACCGCTTACAGTATTCTCGACGACAGAAGAATACTAGAGAGCACTCAATAATGAAGACTTAACTCACCGATGATTCCACCTATGCGGAGCAGTAGCTCACGCTCTGTGTTAGTCGACGCCAGTAAAACGAATGAGCTCCACTCGTCTCGTAATGCCATATATTTCCAAATCTGTCAATTTGCAGGTCGCAAGATAGCTCGCACTTTGAGGCAAAAGGCAAGAGCTCATCAGTAATCGACGGACATTCGTTTCGGCCATTCATTCTAGGTTTCTTTGCGGAAATCCAGAATGATTCCAGTGCTTTTCTGGATGAAGTCTCAGTCTCGTACGCTAGCACAGAACATTTAACATCAAAGTCGTTCCCATTGTGCTCCTCAATCTTGTGCTTGCCAAGCGGTGTAGCTACATCACCACGCCTCTTCCCTAGATGTTCTTAAATACGGTTACCTAGTGCTCTCCCAGTTTCTCCAATATACGTGCTATTACGTTCCATACATTCAAGTTGGTAAATTTATTATAATTCATCGGTGAGTTTTTCATCGGTGACCAAACAATGCAGTCAGGACGGACTCTTGACGCGAATACCGAACTTTGGCGAACATTTATGTGCGTGTGGCATGCGTACTTATAGTGCAAAATGATAAACTATGAGGCAGGGGTAGTGTAGTCAATTTGATGGGGTGGTCAGGAGAGTAGCTTAACATGCCTAAAAAGCTGGAATAGATGGGTTTACACTATTTCAGTGGTATGACTAACATTCAGCGTGCCCCTGCAGCTTCTACCTCCTCACTGAACCACATTGCGCCAATAAAAATTTAAAGGCTGCGGAGGTTGAATATCGAATGGGGCCACCCCCAGAAGAAAATAAGATAGGTAGCAGAAGCCGCCGTACATGTAGTTCTCACGCCATTCATAATTAGACGCTTTAACACATTTAATCCTGTATTGGCATGGACAACTGCATTAAACATGTCAACTCTGTCAAGGAGCTATAGAACCGCCCGACATTATTGCCGCCTCACCGAGAGGTGCAGACGAAAATCCTTGTTGCCTGGAAGGTCACAATGCTGGTTCCTAAATTTTGAAACATCTACACGTGCGACGTTTCTCAGCGCGCAAACCGCCACATCATAACTCCTTGAAAGTGGGTAAGTTGATAGTCGTGGTTTTCCATCTGACAGCTGTCCCGACTGGAAGAAGTGAAATCAAGAGGCGAGACGTCAACGAGGAGCCACAATCCTTCATGAATAACATAACTTCAACCAAGCTCAGTAGTTCGCCATGTAACTCGACGAGAGAACAGAGGGACACGTCCAATTGCGTAAGAATCATTTCATTTACCCCTTCAGGAGTTAACTATCACGTTTGCGACGCTACCAACCGGGTTTGGGGGTGTTTGGTTGGTGGGTTGCCAACCAGGTGAAAATTGTTCGGGGATGACGGTCAGAAGGACGCCCCTGAATCGGAAGGGAATCTGCAGCGACCCCTCCGCCCTAAAACGGAGCATACACAATCAATTAATTGAATAATCTATCAAAATCCTGCAAAATAATAGTGAAGACGCTCTCTTGTCACTATCACTTTCTTTCATCCGGGGGCACACTTCGTTATTTTCTAAAATAAACTGAGGAAAGAAGCATTACCTCGTGTTGAAACCAGGTCCCTTAGAAATGCAGAACTCACAGAAATTCCAAGGACAGTTGCTCTTGATATTACACACCGAGTGCATCGATCAAAGGCCGATTCAACGGCAGCTGCGGCGCGATTTGTCCCTGGGTCCTGGGTCGTATTTGCTGAAACCCCGGCAAAAAGCGTCGAAATCTCCACCCCCGCCTGGGTCGTATTTGTTGATACCCGGCAAAAACCGTCGAAATCTCCACCCCGACGAAAACGTTCCATCCCTCCATTTCCCAACTTTTTCAACAGCACGCGGTACGGTTAGATAAAGCTAGATTTGATACTATCAGACAGTATTGGAATTGCCATGAAAGCCTTCCATTCGGAGAGATATTCTCTCAAAATCCGTCGAGGGAGCGTCGAGGATGCTGAAAATTTCAGGCGAGTTTTTGCCATTCAGAAAGCAGTATCTCCCTATTTCGCAAGATCTTGAAAAGAAGAAGACAGTCTTGGAAAGCGAAGGTTTGCGCTTCCTAACATTATGTTTAGCCTCCTTCTACCTTGTTTAATTGAGGAAATATTTGCGTCGAGGGTCTATCGAGGGTGATTCTTGGCCGCTAAAAAACCGCTCCCACCAGGCAATTCGTCGGCAACGCTCGAAATGTATCCAGAACGCATTCTTCCAACATTAGCATCAAGAGAAGGGGCAACCGCCATCGTCCGACCTCGTTCCAGTATAGGCCATGTATCGGACCTCCACTCAAGTGTTAGAATCTATTGGAAGGTGTTGTTCATGCTATATAATGGTGACCTCATGACAGAAAGTGTAACGCATCTCGTAACTAATAAAGCCTATGGAACAGCTTCATTTATCCAGGGCGTCCTAGAGCTATTGTCGTTTTTGCTACAGCATCCTAACAACACTGCTATTCTCAACGAGGTATAAAGGGCGAAGGAGCGGGCGGCATTTAAAGGAGGTGCCTTTGTAGCGCGTATGCACATGTGACCCCATTCCTTGCGGAGATGCGCTTTCGTTGCAGTACTGCGTTCAAATACCTCCTCCCCATGGAGGTAGAGCAATGAACTTGCAAAGAATATTTTAATCATGCTTCCTCACCTATCTTCGTTCTCTGCTGCCCTACACCCTCTTACTCCTATCTGCACCACAATGCCAGTGATGTTACTGACTCCCACGAGTACGACTCCACATGACACAGCCTGACAAGTGCGACCCCCTGTCGAGGATTTCTTCAACCGATCTTCACCCTGGTCGCAACGCGTAGATGTTAAAAATTAAGAGCAGTATTCTATGTCAACAGAATCGTGGCCGCGACGTTGCAACTGCAGTGGACGAGTTTGAACGTTATTGAATTACAGGGGCGCTAAGCAAGTCCGTCCCTTCAATACTCAACTTCAACCAAGTGCTCCAACCGTCAAATTCAGATGCCGCGTTGCGGCGCTCCGCAAGTGGCCGCGCACGCGTCCCGACGACCGAGCGATTCTGTTGACCGATGTCGAGAGCAAAATTCTTCTCAAGGAGTTGAAAACTACTTGTTGTGAACGTTCAGGTAGAGCGAAGTGCCTTTTCAGTGCTCTGTTCAAAATAACCCCCCCCCCCCCTCCCCCCATAGAAATGGAGCGTATGTGAATGAATGTAATTGATTAAAAAAGTTGGAGTATTAAGAAATCGAAGAATTGCTGAGAGAGATGTCGAAAATAAGAAATGGATTAGTTGGGAGGCTTTGAATCGAGACCATAACCTGCTGAATGTATTGAATTGGGTTGTGTCTGCGTTTATGAAATAATTAGGTGGTTAACGAAAAAATTTAAAAAAGTCAATCAGTCAAATTAGGTAAAGCTAACGTTAGGATGCGAACATTGTTGTTCGCTATTCCTGTTGATAGGATAGAGTCGTGCAAGTGTCATACAGAATTGCATTAGCGCACCCCGTAATGCAGGACTAAGGGGGCTAGAGCCTCACAAAGTGAGCAAATGTGAGCAGCGGAGAAGATTTTGCGTCAACCCCAGCACGAACATGAAATGCGAGGTAATGGCTTAATTCGATTAAAAACGCAATGAGTGTTAGATACTGCTTGTTGTTGTTGGTTATATTGTGGCAGAAGGTTGTGTGCTTATATCCCTTATGGCCAGAAAGTCTGGGCCAGAGCACAAGTTTCAGGGTACCTTACTGACAGGCTTTTTCTCATCTCGATAGCGGAGAGGGGTTGCTGCTGAGGTTTCATTTGCGTTGATTATTTTTGCTTTTTTTTGTCAAAGCAGCTTTCCACTTTCTTCAGTGAGGGTGTACCCCCGCCCAGTGATTGTCGTTGTCTTTATGGGAAGGTCCAAAATCGCGGATTCAAAGTTGTATTGTTTTCACTTGTTCGTTGTGGCATACATATACGTATGGGTCTTGCATGTCTGGTACAAAGGAACGAACACAACTTGAAGTAGTTGGAACCCGGGTGAGGGAATAAAGTCTGGAAATTCCAAATCAAAGGATACAGAGCAAAATCGCTTTTATTCGTGCCGAGATATTTGCGATTAAAATGCAGCCACTGGTGGTTTGGGAAAATTTTAAGAATTCAAGATGAGGAATTAAATTCACAAGTGGGGTACTTATCTATCTTAACTTAAGGGCAGAGGATATTAGGCCTGAGCGAATCGGGTTCAACTGCGGATTTCGGAGGGCACCGGCATGTTTTTTCGTCTGGAGCGAATATAAGCAAGATTGAGAGATGTAATGCTTGTAGAGGCTAGGTTGTTGCGATCTGGAGAGCCAGGGTTCATCTAACGGCGAATTATAAGAAAAAAATGATATTTGCAAAGTGAACTTTCATCTGTAGCATACTTTTTCTGCATGATCTCATATGTCGTAGATGTGGACAGTGCAGGGATCTGTAGTTGGAATTTGAGATAGTTATGCAGATTTCCATATAAACAGCTTCGGAGCAGAAAGCGTTCATCTGTTCTTCGGATATATTCTCGCTGCTGAGGGTTAAGAAGAATCCTTGAGCAGGCTTGATGACCTTCTTTCCAGCACAGGTTGTTACCAGTTCTTCATCTGAGTACTTCCGTTTTTCAAGACCACACACTGAAATCGGTGAAATTTTGCTGCTTCTAGAGAATATTTCAAGATGTTAAAACCAAAAAAGTTGTCCGGCTTGTTCAATTCTTTTTGAACAATTCAGGCGTTCGGCATAGAATCATATTCATGGGGCGTGTGGATGCGTTATTATGGTAACACCTTGGAGCCCAGGCCCATATGTGGGCTGCAGTCTTTCAACCGCGTAGGACCTTATAGACCAAATTTTGGAAAAGAATGTTAATTTGATCTTTTGCTTTCTTTTCTATTTCATTCGATTAGATTTCTTCTGCATTATGCAGTAGATTTTTCTTTTCAATTCTCTTGGTAATATTCCTAAAAAGGTTCCTAAAATGTGAAATCCCACACATCCACAACGTGTTAAAGACCCACCCCCTAAACATTCTCTCATCAGGCTGGTGTCTGTAGCGCTCTCTCGCCTCCCACTTTCCTCTCCGCGCTTAGTCTCTCATTCCCTTAGCACAGCCGACTAGAAAGGGAGTGAACCCTCAACCTAAGCGTTTTCAACGCATTCTTTCCATTTTTTCTTTACTGCTGGCCCATTTTGGACCAATACATTCGCATTCGTGCGCAAGAGCTACACCAATGTGATCCTGGGCATGCCTTTAAGCTATTCCAGTGACTGCGGGTGTCACATGGTTACAAGTGGAACCCGTTAAACAGCACGTATCTCTCGCTGATGTATTCTATCTATGACGATGACGGTTTTGATGACGCCTTGAACGTGACTGGTGGAAAGGCGTTAAGAGGCGGTCTCAAACACATCACTCTCGCGCTGAGGGGTTCGTTCCGCCAATGACATTCAGTGACGTCATGTAAGCAGCACCGCCCTCCTGCCATCACAATCACTGCCTTTAAGTCCCAGTGTTACGTATACGTGTATTTACGACTAGGTCTTGACTTCGGTATTACAAATAGGGTATTTACGACTTAAGTGTGTACGTAAGTCGTAGAACCCTATTTGTTGTACCGAAGTCAAAGAAGAGCGATGAAATTTGGTATGCTCACCGACATTGGTACCGATTTTGCATGCAGGACATAGTCGTTTGAGTTTGTTGATGACACGAGTGGACAGGCGCGGATTGTCGAGAACTTCGATGATCTTTTCTTGTCTATTGAAGGAGAAACGATAAGGTATTTCAAGAGTATCGAAGTTGTAGTTGTTCACAATTCGAATCGCTGGTCGACCTATAACATTGTTTTGAGAGAAGCTTCAAAAAGGGGAATTAGTTGTGAATCTGGAAAAACTACCTGGTTCACATGGCATCAGCTCTCTCAAATGTGGACAGCTAAGGCGTCTGAAGTCCGATCGCGTGATATCGATACAGATCTCCATGAAGACGGCTTTTGAACACATAGCGTTTACTTGCTCTTCCGTGGTTGAATCGGACGAAAGCATAAGCATGAATCCCTTTGCTGGACGTATGATTCTCTTTCCGGCACAAGCTGCTACTAGTTCCTTCTCAGAATAAATTCGGCCTTCCAAGTCACAACCTAGAAAGGAGTAATCGTCAGCAATGGGTCGTATCTCTACCGTATATTGCTTGAAGGCACATTCTGCAGTCACATGGTGCCGCTACTGCACTCGAAATTGAAATCACAGGTGCTATGTGGACCCGCACTGGAAGGAAAAAGGGGAAGTAGTTGCGGAAAACACCGAAAGTCGTGGTTTTTCTCTTTGGGTAGTAGGTGGGATGTGTGATTGAAAGGCAGTGGTCGCGGAGGTAAGAAAACGGCTAGAGGAGAAAAGAGCACAGAGGACGAGCGAGACGCAGACAACCAAAGCTTCCGCAACGGTGGACGTGCCTCAATGAGTAGCGTACTTAGAAGCACGTCATGAGCTCCTCACTCCCCTGCCATAAGTGTTGAAATGCAAAAGTGATGGTGCTTTCTCGGTTGCGGTCCTTTCTATAACCTACAGGGCGAGATCGATTCGCGGAATGTGCCTTTGAAGAAACACTATACCTAAGTTCGCCGTTATTCTACAAGAAGTACAAATCTGCTGCAGCCATTCAATAGTTTCTACAGAAACATGGGGATTTTCAGCGATTTCGAATATCGAGACGTCTTTTTCGAAGGTGATTGAGCGAGGAATGTGGAATTCCTTGAGATGCAAATTTCCTACGATTCTCATAGCTGGTCTTCCTGGAAAAGTGGATCATTTTTTTTCTCGTGGAGAGAATTGTTACGAGCATTTCTCACCTGGTAAGCATGGCCGAATTTCTCGTAGATGTGGGAACCGTAGTTTCTTGTAGTCGGAATTGACTACCGTAATACATATCTCCATGTAAACGGCTTCCGAGAATAACGCGTTCATTTCTTCTGCTGTCACTTTGGATGACGATACGGTTAGGTAAAATCGAGAATGCGGTTTGATGATTTGCGCTCCAGCACAGATAGCTATCAACTCTTTGTCGCTATATCGACGAGCCTCCAATGGACATTTCCGTAGGCGTGGAGCTGCAGATAAAAAAGATTGTATGACCAGGCATCGTCTTAAAATGGCGTAGAACTATGATACTTATGCCAATTTCTGTCTTTGACTATAGTTTTCAAAAAGTCCCCTTCAATACGGGTGGATCTATTGAAACAAGCACCCTACTGTAGGTGGGGGTTGGAGAACTCTGGATGACAAACTAGGTCCAACCCCCTTTCCTTTCTGATTCTGCCCAGTTGACGCGAATCTTGAATTTCTGTGGAGCAGAGGCAACGGTGGCGTTTCTCCTCAGTATTCTTGGATGGCAACGCTAACGACGTTGGATCAGAGATCATTCGAAACGCTAAAAGCCGCTTCTTCTTCAAAATATTCCCAATTTATTTGGTTTTCACAGAATTGTCGCCCAAACATTTCTTATATTACAAAGTGACAATCCTTCAACT